TGGTACATGCCACCTTGATGGGATTAAATTGGAGTCCCCTGGTATGTTTCTAACTCTACCATTTGGGGCAAGTCAGCTTGAGCATGTCCCAAATTGTACATCTCTTCCCTCTCTTATTCCTACTCTTATGTTTAACAGGGATCACATTTCAGTTAAATTTCAACACTTAAGAATAACTGTGTATTAATTACAGAATTAAACCAGTCATATTAAGTAGAACAGACAAAAAAACTACTAAGAGGGATAATGTATTAAGGTGTTCATTAACAGTCAGGGCTATGCTGATCAAGTCACCGTTTCCCATAGTGTCCATTTCACTTCAACAGGTTTCCTTTTTGGTGTTCAGTCAGTTGCCACCAATCAGGGAGAACATATGGTATTTGTCCCTTTGGGACTGGCTTATTTCACTCAGCATGATGTGTTCCAGATTCCTCCATTTTGTTGCAAATGACTGGATTTCATTGTTTCTTACTGTGGTATAGTATTCGAAAGAGTACATATCCCATAATTTCTTTATCCAGTCTACCGTTGATGGGCATTTAGGTTGGTTCCAGGTCTTAGCTATTGTGAATTGAGATTTATTTTATTTATTTGAAAGACAGAGTTACAGAGAGAGGTAGAGACAGAGAGAGAGGTCTTCTATCCGCTGGTTCACTCCCCAGATGGCCGCAATGGCCAGAGCTGTCCCAATCTGAAGCCAGGAGGTTCTTCCGGGTCTCCCAAGTGGGTGCAGGGGCCCAAGGACTTGGGCCATCTTCTACTGCTTTCCCAGGCCATAACAGTGACTGGATCAGAAGTGGAGCAGCCAGGATTAGAACTGGCACCCCTATGGGATGCCAGCGCTTCAGGCCAGGGCTTTAATCCACTGTGCCACAGCATTGACCCAGTGCTGAGTATCTTAAATAAACATTCATATGTACTTGTCAAGTGTTAGACCTTGTCTGAAGGCACTTAGAATATGGCAGAAAGCAAAACCACAAATTTCTTTTGGATTCTGGTGGAGGAGAGAGAGACAAAGAATAAATGCATATTGTTGATGGTCATAAATATCAAAACAAAGCAGGGGTGGGAGACAGGGAGTATCAGGTGAGCTGGTTGCAACTGGAAGTATCGAGGGTCCAGCAAGACTTCACTTGGAAGGCATTTGAGTGTGGAGTGAATAAGAAGCGCCCTGCTCTCACAAGTGTGGTCGGACGTTGTCCCCTGGTTTGTTCAGAACGAAGCTGAGGCTTTGACAGTCAAATAAATTGCACGAATAAACATAGAGCTGGATCTGACTCCAAAGTCCCTGCTGCTGAACCCTCGTGTTACACCCTGTCAACTGTGGACACATTCGTTACAGCGAAGTAACTCAGTTGGGGCTGCCTTGGTTTTGATTCTGGTGGTTCTGCTGCAGCTTGGCTGGCTCACAGGGAATCTTGGTAGCCTGAGTTTCCCTTCCCTCCTTACACCTGTTCTGTTTAAAAGGCACTGGGGTTGTGCCCTGTGGCCTTCGTAGGCAAAGAAGCCACTGGGTTACTGACTTCCTTGTAGTGGGATGTGTTCGCTGTGTGTCTGAGGAAGAAGTCTTTGCTCTAGCAAATCATTGACTATTTGAATTCCTATCATTGCATTTCAGCTGATAGGACACTAATTATGCTGGCCTGTGCATCACTGTGTCCAAGAGTGTGTTGTAAATGCTCATATTTAGAAGAGAATGTGAACTGAGTGAAAGGTAACAATGCCAATGTCACTGCTCATTGTGTTTATCACAGAATAGGCCCTACCATATATTTCTAGTGATTGCTTTATCTTGACAAAAAAGGTAAAAAACAAATGAGTGTGTTGGATTGGAAACCTTTATTGAGGACGGTGGATTGGAGGTCAAGGGTTCAAGGGAGCTCCATTGTACACATTGTACGTACATTCTTTATTGAGTGTGCCTATGTTAAGAGTAGGATGATTTTTGGTCCAGATCCTCACCTACATTGGCTATTGGTGGTTCTTTTGTGCTTTGAGGAACAATGTTTGAGGTGTTGATCATCACTGTAAAAAGTGGCAATAGGTTTACAATGCTGTTGTTATTATGGTAACCCTAGGTGGGGAAGCCTCACCCCCCTTTCAAACAGGCGCGAGACTGAGGGAGGCTTGAAAGCAGGGTATTACACCTGCGGTCGGTCGTAGTGGAGTCTCCAGAGAGACTGAGCCCCAGCCAAGGTTCCTTACAGTACTTAGAGGTTCCTCATCCTCCTGCCTTAATCATTACAGCGTTGATGGGTTTAAATGGTAGCCCATCTGACTTAGGACCACCTATGGGAAAGTAGTGTGCAAGACCTGAGAGCACACTTGCGACAGTTGGAGATACCAGAGCAGGTTTTGATGGGAGTTAGGAAAGCTGGTTAGGACTTTTTTCTTTCCTGGACAGCACAGTGGTGGGCAGCGGCTTCACCAGGTAATGGCCACTTTTCCAGACTGTCTCAGGCTCCTGTTCTCCCCTCTTTGTCTTTGTTGTGACTTTATTTCCGCTTCATTATGCTTTTTTGTCAGTTTCTAGTGACTTTCCCCATGTACTACTTCTGAAATAAAGTGATACTAATTTTTAATATGATTTTCTTTTTCTTAGGGATATACTATAGTTTGAGCACTTGGGTGGTGACGTTTACTCAATTTACTTTTTTGCTTTTGGCTTTCTCCTGATGTATGTTTTATTTATGTTTTCTTTTTTGAAAGCATTTTGATTAGTTTGTAACAGATTCAGTATAGTTCATAGCTACAATTCTAAGAATTTAATGATATTCCCTTCCTCCTTCTCCCCCACTCCCTCCCCCCTCTCCCTCCCATCCTCCCTTCCTCTTTCTCCCTCTCCCTTTCTTTCCTTCTATTTTTAGTTATTGAGATAACATATTTTAAATTGACATTGCAGTAGAAAGGCATAGTGCTTCACCAAGTAAGAAGTTTAATAAGCAAAAAGCCAAAAGACCCTCGTTTAATGGGAATACAGGCAACAGCCATAAATAGTAATTAAATGGAAAAATTACCACTTCACTGATATACAGTAAATTTTCAAGTATTCCATTTACTTGTGGAATTGTAATATACATACAGAAAGATGGACAGTTCAAAAATATTTTTCCAAAAATGAATACACATAGGTAGCAAGCTTTCAGGTCAAAATGTAAATTGTCAGGGGTAGGCATTTGGTTTAGGGGTTAGGATACATCACTTAGGATGTGTTTATCCAACATCAAAGTGCCTGGGTTCTAGTTCTGGCTCCGTTTCTCATTCTAGCTTCCTGCTAACGTGCACTTAGCTGGATACCTGCCACCCATGTGGGAGACATAGATTGAGTTCCTGACTCCTGGTTTCAAGTGTACCCAGGCCCAGCTGTTGTAGGCATTTAGGGCATGAACCAGCAGATCAGAGTTTGCTCCAGTTCTCCCTCTGTCTTTCTCTTTGCCTCTATCTGTGTGTGTCTCTACGCCTCTCAAATTAATAAAATAAATTTAAAAAATATGTAAATTGTCAGCATCTCACAGGCCCTGCTCCCTCCAATCACTTCTACCGTTCATTCCCAGAAGGATAACTTTCTGACTTCTAATAGCATATCTTATCTTGGTCTTGCCTGGTTTTGTGCTATAGATGAATGAAGCAATGCAGTCTGTATTCATTTGCACTGGCCTTTTCTTCCCATTGTTTGCGACGCTGAACCATATGGTTGAATGTAGCTGCATTGCCATATAATTCTTCATTATATGGATATTGCATAATTTATCCATGTTACTGTTAAAAACATATGTGTAGCTTCCAGTTTGCTGTTACGAGTAGTGCTACCGTATAAACATTGTTCTGTATGACTTTTGGTGAACAAATATGAGCACTTTTGTTGGGGATGCACATAGGAATAGAATTATCCAGTCATAGAAAATGGATATATTTAGTCGAGTAGATATAAGCAAGTGGGTTAAATGTTTTAGTAGATAAGTGTCCATTTTTAAAATACTTTTCCAACTGGCCTTTCCACTAGGAGCGTGAGAGTTTGTAAATTTTATTGTTGAGATGCCCTTTAGGGAATGGGTGGGAGGTGCCTGGTATTTTTAGGTTCATTTTAGTTCATGTTTGTTCTGTGGAAAGATTGTTTGAAAGTGAACTTAAATATTTGTCTCTATACTCCCTTTCTCTCTTTTTTTTCTTTATTTCTCTGTGCATATGAATGTGTGTTTTGTGTGTACAAGTCTACCATGAATATATTGATAACGTACATCTATGTGTGTATTTTATCTTACAAATATACTACTACTGCTAGACTGAAAAGCTATTTTAAAGGTCATGGAATACAGGCTTCTGTAGCCTCTGAGTTCCCACTGCCCTCGTGTGAGTGTGAAATGATAGGAAGTATATTCTATCAGGGCGATTGATCCCTTTGTCAAGGCGAATACTGTTGCTTCTTCATGTCCCGTCAGTATCATGCCATTATACTAACAAGCAGAAACCCATGATTTGTGTAATAGAGTGAAGTTTTTTCAGGTGCAGTTTCATGATTATTTTGTAAATTGCACTTTTCAGCATTTGCAGGTCATGGTCTCAATGGTGTGCTTTAGGGAATTTGAGTGACAAACCGGTAAACGGTGGAGAACACAACTCAGTGCCAAGTTGTTTTTTCTTTTCCCATTTATCAGTTTTTCTGTCATGACTACATATTGATTTTTTGTCCTGATTGCATTCAAACATTTAAAATAGAAGCAGAAAAAATGCAGAGAATGCATTTGGGAAGTCACACTATAGTGAGGAAAATAAGAACAGTGTTGCTTTTTATTTTATAGGAGATAGATCAGGATATTTCAACAAATCAGTGAATCTGGAAAACTCATAATGGCTAATATGTACTCTACGATGTTGGAACTTCCATGTGAATCTAATATATTCGTTGAACTTGAAAGCAAAAATGAGCTTTTTTTCCTTAGCTACAATTAATAATTTAGGGTTCATGGAAATTAACTGATATTTTCTTTTTTCTTTTACAGTCAAGAAGAGACTGATAGGAGAGTGAAAAATGTGAGTGTTTGCTTCAGTGAATCATTATAAATGGTTTTTACTTCTATGTTGTATAAGACAGCAGTAGATCTGAAGATGATATACTCTGTATTCTTTTTTCTCCTTTACATTTGTGCTAAAAAGCAACCAGTCACAGACTCTAAATACTTTAAATTGTGTGTGTTCTAGTATACAGTCAAAACACATTTTCTGACATATTGGTACAAAGTAATTGTACATTATTGGTACATAATCTTTAAGAAGATTTTGCTTGTTGTAAAATTTTTTGAAATTCATATATAGGATCTTCAAGAAGTCCATGAAAAACACATACTACAAAAATTTATGCTTAGATTTCAAAAAGTTTTTTGCACACAACTTATTTTTAATTCCATATCCATGAACTTGTTGAAGTTCTCTTTTATGTTATTAATGTAGTAAAGGCAAATAAATACTATTTGTACCTTTTAAAGGAGGAAGTATGAATCCACCTAAGGACTCTGGGTAATTGCTCGATGGAGGCTCATATGATGTCATTAATATTCTGCATATATTAGAACAATGTTTAAGAATGTGACAGCTTTATTTTCAAAAAGATTAATATCCTCTGTAAGGAAATGGAAACTCATTTCAAGTGTTCATTTCGTGAGTGTGTTGCAAAAATGATCGTTTAAAAAATTTTCATTTGTTTCCCTAGAAATTTTTCTGCTTTCTTCATATGTCCTAGTTGAGTGTCTTAATGGCTTTCTGGAGCTGAGTTTTTAACCTGAGAACTTGTGTAGGGTCAGGAAAATCTCAGAAGAATAAGTAAGATTTTTAATGACCCCTTCCCCTTCCCATGAATGTAAAAGAAATCCTGCTTTCCAGTCAAAGAGTAATTTATGTTCTCATTTATCCGCAACACTCAACTGGATTTGAGTTAGCAATTGGTTTCTAAATAGATCTTGTTGTTCATAGTCTGATTCCCTGTCTCTCTTTTTTTATTTCGAATAAAGGTTTTGATAACATTGTACTGGCTGGGACGAAAGGCACAAAGTAACCCGTGCTATAATGGGCCCTATCTTAATTTGAAAGCATTTGAAACTCTTTTAGGACAAGCTCTGACTAAGGTAAGGAAATGCACCTGTAGGACGTGGCTGTTACTGCTGCTTTGCTGCTGCTACTTTCTCATCCTCTTTCCCTTTGCTCCTTTTGTTCCTCCCCTTCCTCCTCTGCAACAAACAGGTGACTCTGTCTTGTCTTCACTGTAGATTGGGCTGAGTAGCCAGGATGGTTACTCTTTGCTGGCTTTACAGCCTAATAGCACCACGGAGTGAATGAGTGTATTTCCAGAACACTGCAAAGCATAGAGATTTGTCTCCGAACCTTTGGTACTTTGATGCTACCATTTGCTTTCTTTCTTGCCTACTCTGCATAATTTAACTTTTTCCCTAGTCATGAACTCAGCCTGGCATGGAGAGTTGCTTCCTCCCATGAAATTTATGGACGTTACTCAATTTCTTTGTATTAATGTGTTCTTGTCATGGGTGATTGTTACTCTAATGCCCACACTTTATAGCCTACAATTCTAACATACTCTTTTCTCAACAATAGTGGGTGCTAAGCGAAACTTGCTGAGCTAAGTTGGAGCCTTTTATTTTAGACACATTTCTGGTGCTTCATATCCTGGAATCAGTGCGATAGGCTTTTGAATGCTTATGGACCTTTTTAGAAGAGTTGAGAGCCAGGACTGACCATTGTTCTGTCCAATCTTAGTTTTGCTATTTGGATCTTAGACATGAATTCCTCTAAGGATGCACTTACCTAGGGGCATTTGCAGGCTCAGGAGGAAAACAGATAGTTGGAGTAACAGATCATCATCTAATTAATGGTAGTTGCTCTTTGGGTTTTTATGATGATTAAATGATATTGTACCAATAAGTCTTTGATAGCACCATATAAGGATGCAGTGAGTGATAGTGGCCATGATTGGAGGATAAAAGTTTATGCCAGGAGGAAGATAACCACTTTGCTTTACGTCTACCCTGGTCTTTAAATGTATTATCTGAGCCCAGACACACATAGTATAGAGATGGGATTACAGATCCTAGGAAGTTCAGGTGTTTATTTTTCTTTTTAATTATAAGGACTTAGTAGCGTTATGTTCACATCCTGTGAGTCAGTTAATTCAGGTAACAGTTGTGATCTTAATGTGCACACATTTTGTAGTAGGTGTTGGGAAAACGGCCGATGACCCGCCCTCAGAGCACGTTGTCTGGGACAGATGAGCAGATCAGTCAGTGCTGTGGAGGGTGGGGCACTGCTGGGGGATTTTGTGGGCCTCTGGGCCCAGGATAGCGCTGCCTCACAGAGCTTCAGCCAAGAAAAAACTCAGTGAAAGTCCATGCGGGACTTTGGCTTCTGTCCTGGTGCTCTCTTTATAGCCTTGGGTCATTTTTATGACAGTCTGACTCAGGATAATCCTGGCGCAGTGTTTATGCAAGGAATGCTTCATTCAAGCCCGTTTCCTGTCTCCGTTGTCGAAATCAGAGTGCATACAAAGAACTTTTCCTATATAGAACTGTATATAATGGGGCCGGCATTGTGGTGCAGCTGTTTAAGGGCTGGTGGTTTTCTATTATTCTTTTTTTCGTTTTAATTATTTGACAGATAGAGTTAGACAGTGAGAGAGAGAAACAGAGAAAGGTCTGCCTTCCGTTGGTTCACTCCCCAAATGGCCTCCACGGCCAGAGCTACACCGATCTGAAGCCAGGAGCCAGGAGCTTCCTCCTGGTCTCCCATGCAGGTGCAAGGCCCAAGCACTTGGGCCATCCTCCACTGCCTTCCTGGGCCAGAGCAGAGAGCTGGACTGGAGGAGGAGCAACTGGGACAGAACCGGCGTCCATATGGGATGCCGGCGCCGTAGGTGGAGGATTAACCAAGTGAGCCACGCGCCGGCCCCGAGAGTGACAGTTTGAGTCCTGGGTTCTCCACTTCTTCCTGCTAATGTGCCTGGAAAATCAGTGGTCCCAGTACTTGGATCCCTGCCACCGAAGAGAGAAGACGAGATTAAGTTCCTGGCTTCCGCCTGGCCCAGCTCTGACTCATGTGGGCATTTGGGGAGTGGTGGAAGATCTCTCTCTCTGTTGCTCTGTCTGTGTCTCAGTGTGTGTGTAACCCCATTGTCTTAAATAGAAGCAGATGATGGACCAAGTACTTGGGCCTTTGCTGTCCATGTAGTCCCTGGTGGTGTTCTTGGCTCCTGGATTTGCCCTGACCCAGACATGGCTGTTTGGCCACTTGGGGAGTGAAACAGCAGATAGAAGATATCTCTCTTCCCCACCTCTTTCTTGTCACCTCAGTCCCTGTTCCTCCCTCCCTCCCTCCTTTCCTCCCTCTCTTCCTCCCTCCCTCCCTCCCTTTCTCTCTCTCTCTCTGCTTTTCAAATAAATAAATCTTTAAAATTAAAAAAAAAACAGCTATATAATTGTGGTTCTCTTCCAGTTACAAAATAGGCATAACTGTGAGAGGCATGTGAATTTATCATCTGTTTGTTTCCTACCAGTTCTATTAAAATCATGTGTTCAACACTTTTTTTCCCATTTAACTAGACAATGCTTAATAGCTAATCCCAAATATCAATTAAAAAAAGAAACGACATCTGCTGTCGTGCCTGAGTCATCTTGTAGCTGGAGGTGACTCATTGTAGGTGACTTGTCAGAGAGAAGTTTCCCTTAAAAACCAGGCTCCAGGGCTCACTGAGGTGTTGTAACTGAGGTGGCCTATCATCACTAACGCTTAGGAGGTCGAAGGTCATCCTTCTGTGTGTTGAACTCTAAGGCTCCTACAAATGCATGTCTGAGAAACCTGGTAGAGCTAAGAGTTACTTGAAGTTTTAAAAAATCTTCTTTTATTTTGAGACGTACTTTCGTGGTACTAGCACTAGGCCTAGTCTCCCCATCTGCTTGGAAGTATCAGAGGAAGGAGCTGGCAGGTTCACGACGCGATGTCAGCCCCCAGGCCAGGATGTGTGGCGTTTAGAACTATATGAAATCCCACTTAAATCTGCTAGACCTTACTGGTGCATCGGACACTTGTCAGCAGTTGAGCCATGAATTGACAGATCCAGTACTAGTTAGAAGTGTGCCTGAGTCAGCTGCTGATTACTAATTGTAAATATACTTTTTTGTATGTTGAAAATATTCATAATTCAAAGTTGAAGAATAGTACAAGAAATGCCTATATATCAATATATATAACATATGATTCAATTAAGGTTTCCCATTCTGTCTTCATGTATTTCCCACCTATTTTTTTAAGAAAGATTTTATTTAATGAATACAAATTTCATAGGTACAGCTTTAGGAATATAGCAGTTCTTCCCCCTATACCTGCTCTTCCACCCCCCTTCCCGTCCCACCTCCTGCTCCCTGTCCCTCTCCCATCCCATTCTTCATTGAGATTCGTTTTTAATTAACTTTATATACAGAAGACCAACTCTATACCAAGTAAAGATTTTCACAATTTGCACCCACACAAAGTATACTACACTTGATCTTAGCTAAAAGGCCGAGAAGCGATACAAAGTATAAAGTACTATTTGAAAACAAGTTTCACAGTTAATTCTCATGTTTTTACTTAACCACTTTAAGGTTAAACCGCAGATATGATACCTTACCCCTGCATGTACAGCAATTAACTCCTAAGAGTAAGAATATTTTTGTAGATAGCCACAACGTCTGGTGTACTTAAACAGACTTGAAAATATTTCCTGTTATTTAATACTCGTCCATTTTAGAACTTGCCCAGTTGAGTCTCTACTGTTTTTCATAGCTCCTTTAGCGGAATCTGATTTAATCAAGGCTACATTTTACATTGGGTTGTTAGTAATTGCTAAGTTCTTCAGTGGAGCAGCTCCCGTAAGGGATGCTTTGCCAGCGTTGCCACAGTGCCAGCCCCGTATCCCCTACGTTAATAAATGTTCCGTATTAAGTATGTAGTATCTCACTGTCGCATTAAATGTTGGAAACCTCCTTGCTCAGTTGTGGGAAAGCAGTTGCAGGTTCCTTTCTGGTGTTTAGAGCCTTTGTCTGAGGTTCAGCTGGGAACTCTGATCGCCTCACCTATCAAACGACCCACAGCTTCAGCTGTGCAGACGAGCAGCAGCCCATTGGATTTTTGGAGCTTTACGCTAACTGCTGTCCTTCATCAAATGTGTCCTTTAGGCACTTGAAGACTCCAGCTGCCTGGCAAGGAGTGGCAGAGACAGTGGCTACGGTGACATCTGGTGTCCTGAGCGGGCAGAATTCCCTGCTCCTAGTGCTGGCAACCCGCAGCGAGAAGATTCCTTTGAAAGCTTGGACTCTTTGGGGTCCAGGTCACTGGCAAGTGGTTCCTCCGACATCACCTTGAGAGGGGCACGTGAGGGTGAGTTGAGCTGTGGTGTGAGCATGTTTTTCTCTCTGTGCACATTAAGAAAACTGGAAATAGGAGTGAAAGCAATTTAAGCAAAAATTTCACAATGAAGTAGATTTTCATAGAGACTCAAGTGTAAGAGGGGGTTTGTTTTGTTAGTTTTTCCTTCCTGATAGTGGTGGAAAAGCTTCGGGTTTTACGGTTTTTTTTTGTTTGTTTGTTTTTTGTTTTTTGTTTTTGTTTTTTGCTATTTCTGGAGAGGCCCGGGGAGAAGGCGCTTAATTGTAACCTGTTTTATCAATGTTGGTCTGTCCTGACTTCTTTCTTTCTTTTTTTAAAAAGGATGTATTTATTTATTTGAGAGGCAGGGTTACGGAGAGAGAGGGAGAGAGTTTTTCCATCTGCTGGTTCACTCCTCAAATGGCCCCAATGGCTGGAGCTGGGTGGAATCTGAAGCCAGGATCCAGGAGTTTCTTTTGGGTCTCCCACAGGGGTCCAGGGGCCCAAGCACTTGGGCTACCTCTTGCTGCTTTCCCAGGCCATTAGCAGGGAGCTGGATCAGAAGTAGAACGGCCAGGACTCAAACTGGTGCCGATATGGGATGCTGGAACTGCAGGTGGCAGCTCAACCCACTGTGCCATAGCACTGGCCCCCTGAATTCTTTCTTCCACAGTGAGCTTTAATAATCTGTGCCTACAAGGCCTATTAGCTAATATAGCCAAACATAGAATATACATAGGATTGGCCGGCACTGTAGCTCATTAGGCTAATCCTCCGCCTGCGGCGCCAGCACCCCAGCTTCTAGTCTCAGTTGGGATGCCGGTTCTGTCCCAGTTGCTCCTCTTCCAGTCCAGCTCTCTGCTGTGGCCTGGGAAGGAAGTGGAGGATGGCCCAAGTGCTTGGGCCCTGCACCTCATGGGAGACCAGGAGGAAGCACCTGGCTCCTGGCTTCAGATCGGTGCAGCGCGCCACTCGTAGTGGCCATTTGGGGAGTGAACCAACAGAAGAAAGACCTTTCTCTCTGTCTCTCTCTCTCTCTCTCTCTCTGTCTGTGTGTCAAAAAAATAAAAAGAATATACATAGGATTGTCCAAATTACTCTGTTTGAGTTCCTGAGAATTAGTTCTTTCACACATTCCTCCCTACAAAAAAAAAAATAGATATCTTAAGAAGAAACATGAAAGTATTTTTTTTAATTATCTGTTTTCTCTGATAGGTTATCTAATTTGGTGGTAGAATACATTTTTGGGTTCTCTTAGGATCAGTGCTAACACAGGACAGAATGAGTATCCAAGGAAAGTGTTAGGGAAGGTTACTCTTTTTGGGGAAGGAAACTTCTTCCGAAAATCCCAAGCTTGCAGTCAAATCGGTTATTTAACCGTATGTCTTTGGGCAGGTGTTTGGTGTGGTGGGGAAGCCGCCATCTTGGAGTGCCCAGGTTCAAGTGTTAGTTCTGCTTTCAGTTCTAGCTTTCTGCTTATGAGCAGCCTGGGAAAGCAGCTTTGATGGTTCAAGTACTTGGGTCCCTGCCACCCAAGATGGAGAACCAGATTAAGTTCCTGGCTTTAGCTTGGCCTACCCCTGACTGATGGGGCATTTGGGGAGTGATGGAAGATTGATATCTGTCTCTGTCTCTGTCTGTCTGTCTGTCTGTCTCTCGGTATTTTAAAACAAAAGCAAAACTGAAAACCCCATTGCCTTAAATAGAAGCATGTTTTATTCCTGTGGCCATTAAGAAATATCAAGCTATTCAGCTTTGACCTGACTGAGGTCGCAGGCAGAGTTTCTTTAGATGTTTCTGGACTTCCGCTGTCATTAACATGGAAAGCTTGAGAGTTCTGGTTGTAAATTTGTGCTCCATTTTAGTTTTCTTGCTTAGAAACATAGAAGTATTCAAAATAAATGTTCTTCTTAGTATTTTTATTGGAAACTTCAAACATTGGCAAAATTGAAATATTTTTACAGTGAACAAAGTTGTACCTACCAGCTAGGACTTCCATAGATTTTACTGTTCTTGCTTTATTACATATGTGTATATCTGTCTCTGTATTAGTTTATCCACCTTACTTTTTGAGGAATTTTAGGGTGCATTATATATATCTGGAGTATTTCAGTGTGCACATCATTAGCTAGGATCAATTTATATTTTTCTTCTGTTGTAAAATTTACACATATGCAATGTATAGTATATTCTTTGAAAAATAAAATTAATTTATTTGGCATGGTAAGAAAAAAAAAACCCAGTACTTTAGCTTTTAGAGTAGTAGCACTATTTTCAAATGAAAGCTAAGAAATGTGAATTGCAGGCATTCACCTCTGTAAGTTCTGCTGCATTTGTGTGCTGTCTAGCTGTGGCATTTTCATGGCCCAGGTGACTGACTGCACTCCTTTTAAGGAAGTGGATTAAAGCTGTTAAAGCAGAGGCTGCAAGTTCTCAGTACCATGTTACTTTGTCCTGAAGGAGAACCTGTAATGTTCAGTGTTGAAATGTATATCTGGCCAACAAGAATCAGAGAAGCACAGATGGAGGGCATGAGGGATGTGCAGACTTCGGTTAGTTTGTACACAGTGGTCCAGGGCTGCGGCATCTAAGTCCTCTCCTTAGGTACTTGGGCTGTGTGCTGGGTGTGGGCCACTCTCACTCTCTGGGTGGCTGCCTGGCTCAGGAAGGGAACTGCAGACATTGTTTAAGGAGTGTGGGAGGGACGGGTACTTGGCTTAGTGGTGTAGGCACCAGTTGGGATGCCTGTGTCCCATCCTGGAGTTGCCTGGGTTTGATACCCAGCTCTGGCTCCAGACTTCTTCTTCTTCAGGTCCAGGGTGGTAAAACTTTGTGATTAACATATTAAAAGACTTCTTCTTCTTCTTCTCCTCCCCCTCCTCCCCCTCCTCCCCCCTCCTCCCCTCCTCTCCCTTCTCTTCCCCCTCCTCGTCCCCCTCCTCCCCTCCTCCCCTCCCCCTCCTCCCCCTCCTCCCCCCTCCCCCCCTCTTTTCCCCCTCCTCGTCCCCCTCCTCCCCCCCTCCCCCCTCCTCTCCCCCTCCTCCCCCTCCCTCCTCCCCCTCCTCCCCCTCCCCCCTCCTCCCCCTCCCCTCCTCCTCCTCCTTCTGTTTTTGACAGGCAGAGTTAGACAGTGAGAGAGAGAGAGCAGCGAAAGGTCTTCCTTCGGTTGGTTCACCCCCAAAATGGCTGCCACGTGGTGCACTGTGCTGATCCGAAGTCAGGAGCCAGGTGCTTCCTCCCGGTCTCCCATGAGGTGCAGGGCCCAAGCACTTGGGCCATCCTCCACTGCCTTCCCGGGCCACAGCAGAGAGATGGACTGGAAGAGGAGTAACCGGGACAGAATCCGGCACCCTGACCGGGACTAGAACCTGGGGTGCTGGCGCTGCAGGCAGAGGATTAGCCTAGTGAGTTGCGGCGCCAGCAAAGACTTCAGCTTCTTACTAATGCAGACCTTGGGAAACAGCGGCAAATGGCTCAAGTAATTGGGTTCCTACCACCCATGGGAGAGACCTGGATTGGAGGCATTTGTCGGATGAATCAGCAGGTGGTAGTTTGCTCTCTGTCTCTCGCTCTCTTTCTCTCTCTGCCTCACAAATAAATATAATTTTTAAAGAGTGTGGCAGTGAAATCTTAGTAATTACAATTGAGCAATAAAAAAAATAATCCTGGAGTGGAGGAGTGAGGGTCCAGGGTGGTAAAACTTTGTGATTAACATATTAAAATTCTGCTGCTGGGGCTGGCGCTGTGGCTCACTTGGTTAATTCTCCACCTGTGGTGCCGGCAACCCATATGGGCGCCGGGTTCTAGTCCCGGTTGCTCCTCTTCTGATCCAGCTCTCTGCTATGGCCTGGGAGGGCAGTGGAGGATGGCCCAAGTGCCTGGGTCCCTGCACCCGCATGGGAGACCAGGAAGAGGCACCTGGCTCCTGGCTTTGGATCAGCGCAGTGCCAGCCATTGTGGCCATTTAGGGGGTGAATCAATGGAAGGAAGACCCTTCTCTCTGTCTCTTTCTCTCACTGTCTATAACTCTACCTGTCAAATAAAAAAAAAAAAAAATCTGCTGTTATCCACTGTGTTGTAGTCCCACAGTGGTGGTCACCACAATTGAGGCTAACATTTTTAGGATAAAAAGAATTGAAAAGTCAAGTTCCTTAGTTTTAACATGAAAACTCTTACATCAGGAGTGACATTCACAGAAACTGCAGATCTCCGTACTGAGCTGTAAAAAGACTGAAAATTCAAAAGGGAAGTAGCCTGTTTGTGATTTTTAAATTTTGCACGTACAGATTTTGGCAAGACTCATTGGTACATTTACTGTAAAAGAGGGCCAGTTGTCTTATTACTTATTACTTACACTGCTCTTCTTGGTCGTTGCTGCTTAGGTCGTTTCCCTTCATGCCCTGACTCTCCTCTTACCCTGGGCCTGTCTCCTGGATGTGTGTTAATCCACATCCGGCAGACTTTTCTCCATGTTATTGACTATACCTTCCTGCCAGACAGGAGGGAGGAGACAAGAGGGCCTTTAGCTCGGGTTAAGGCTGCTGGTGCTCTGTGTGCTGGGATCCTGTTGCTGTCAATAGCTGCACGTGGCCAGCCTCAGGGTCACCCCTGGTGGAAAGTAAATGACCCTTCCCATTCTTCTTTACAGGTGCATGGGAGGCTGGGAGACGGCACAGACAGGGAAGACAACTCAGTTTGGAGCTGTAGTGTTTTTCTCTGCCTCCTTTTCTTCTTAGTCTTAAAGAAACGGTTTCTGTTGAAAGAGTGAATTACTAATTGTATCTATCTGACTGAATTACTAATTGTATCTATCTAATCTGTATCTAGCTGTATCTGTATCTGTCTGAGGTGCAGTTATTTGTCAGAGTTTGCTTTTGAATTATTTTAGATCAGAATACAGGGTTCCCAAAATCATTTCCATGGCCACCTTCAGATGAAGCCTTGAGTTTTGGGCTCTTATTGAGCCATAAGACTTGTAATTTCTTTGGGATTTCAGGTGACATCCAATCTAACCTTGCATGTAGTGTGTGATTTTAGGTCATAGGGGTCTGACAAGAATCTATGAGACTCCTTTGTGACCCAGTGGTGGTTTTTTTTTTGGCTGCTGTTTCTATGTGCTTTCTTTTTTTTTTTTTTTTTTTTAACTTTTATTTAATGAATATAAATTTCCAAAGTACGGCTTATGGATTACAATGGCTTCCCCCCCATAACGTCCTTCCCACCCGCAACCCTCCCCTTTCCCATTCCCTTTCCCCTTCCATTCACATGAGGATTCATTTTCGATTCTCTTTATATACAGAAGATCAGTTTAGCATACATTAAGTAAAGATTTCAACAGTTTGCTCCCACACAGAAACATAAAGTGAAAAATAATAGATGATTTTTTTTTCTTTCTTTCTTTTTTTTTTTTTTTACAGAAGATCAGTTTAGTGTACATTAAGTAAAGATTTCAGTCGTTTGCACCCCCATAGAAACACAAAGTGAAATATACTGTTTGAGTACTCGTTATAGCATTAAGCCTCAGTGTACAGCACGTTAAGGACCGAGATCCTACATGAGGAGTAAGTGCACAGTGACTCCTGTTGTTGACTTTACCAATTGACACTCCTGTTTATGGCATCAGTAATCTCCCTATGCACCAGTTATGAGTTTCCAAGGCTATGGAAGCCCCTAACTCTTCCCTGATGATGTCTCTTTGACAGCTGCATACATACTTTAGAGTTTCCCTAGAATTATTTCTGTTAGCTCATCGCTGGGTTTTATTCCCATGTATCACATCGACAGATTTTATGAAAAATCACTGAGGCAAAGAAGATCGAGAAGCAAAGGGGTTCCTCGGTAAATTGGGGCTTTTTCTGCTTAGAAACTGCAACAGCAAAAGAATGTACCGCCTGTGCCTCTCATATGCAAAGCAAGTTCCTCCTAATGGATCTTATCTCAACTTCATGACAAATTTCTAAAAATATTCCCTGCAGTTCGCAATAACAGCACTGGGTTTCCAAGGGAAAGGCAAAGCAGGCATGCCGGTGGATTTCAGTTAGGCGAAGAGTCTAGAGCCTAAAGCAGATTCTCGTGTCTTCTTCCTAGGTTGTGAAAGTGACACGGATTCTGAATTCATACTCAAAATGCAAGATTTTAATAAAGATGATATGTCCTATCGAAGGATTTTGGCTATCGAACCCAAGTCTGCTTTACCATTCAATCGTTTTTTACCCAACAAAAGTCGACAGCCATCCTATATGCCAGCACCCTTGAGGAAGAAGAAACCAGACAAAAATGAGGATAACAGACGGAGCTGGGCAAGTCCAGTCTATACGGAAGCAGATGGAACGTTTTCAAGGTACTGGGATGTGATGTGCTAATTGAGTGGAGGATGCTTTGTGAAATGTGTGTGTGGGGGGGTGGGTATTTAAATATGCTAGAAGAATGGTTCTTAAGGGTGTTTCCTAGGTGATATATTAAATTTCACTAATGAGTTTTTTTGTCCTTACCTCTATTTGTAGTCATACCTACCTTGAAGGTAATTCTTCTGTTTTAGAGGGTCAGCAGCTGGTGAGCTAGGTCTTATTTTAGATGCGTGCCTTCACCTTACTGGTATTTTTCTGGTTACCGCATGATTTACATGAGGTATTACTCATTGTGAGCTCTGCCAGGTTTTATTCTTTCATTTCCTTCCTCCCCTGCCCCCATTTTGATTGATCTTAGTGGACCTCCCCGACCTCCTTTAATTTCCCATCACATTAGCAGAGCAGAGTGTGGGTTTTCAAGTCAGAAGGACGAGTGTGGTTCTGCCAGTGGTCTGGACTCTGAGGTGGAACGAAGGTCACCTGACATGGTTTTGCATGACTTAGCCAACCAACTGTACATAGATTCCAAGGGAAAAGGAGGCCGAAGAGTTTCGTCTGGAAAACCACCTCTCCCTAACTCTTGCCTGCGAATATTTCCTCCTGCTGATGCCTTAGCCACGGGCTGCACACACTGAGGAGGTCAGAAATGTTTGTCCTGGATCTGGGTGTCTCTCACGCTGCTGATTTTAATTCACAGAGTTAACGTTCCCAATTATTTGCGATTTGTCTTCCTTTCAGCACAGCTTTGAATTCAGTATCTTTGTCCCGTGTGTATCTAGCTAATACCTTTTCAAAATGAGACGCTGTTAGAATGCCTTAGCTTGGTTCCAGGAGCTCTGGTGACGAGAGTGGGAATTAATGTGTTTCATTCACAGTGGTGCAAGCTTTGTGAGCCAGAAAGCATGCTTGTCTCGCAGATTGCTCACACGGTAACTTAACTGGTTGGATGTTTTGAACAGTAACCAGAGGAGGACTTGGGGCAGCAAGGTGCAGCACTGGCCAACTGTGCAAGAGACTCCAGGCTCCTCTTGTTCTTTGGAAGAGGCAGAAGAAAAGGCAACGAGCGTTCCCAGCACTGTAAAGGATGATCTCTATGTGCGAAAGCTAAGTCCAAGTGTGCCAAACCCAGGGAATTCTTTCGATCAGTTTCTCCCAAAATGCTGGGCCCCAGAAGATGTGAACTGGAAAAGAATAAAAAGGGGGACTTATAAGCCATGGTATAAAGAATTTCAGGGATTCAGGTTCGTCCATGCATGTTCCTGTCACTCCAGTGTTCATTCAGCACCCAGGCTGGGTGCATTCTGTGTGCATTTTTATGGGAGAGATGAGAAAGGTTAATTTCCCTTCTGCAATCCATAGAACCTGGATACGTGAGACCAATTTCTGTTTACCTGTAAGCCTTAGGCTCTGGCTCTTTCAAAGTCCTCTTCTAGTCGTAGTCACGTCCTTCTCCTCCTGTCTGTCTGCTTCACTCCCTGCTTCTTTTCTCCGTGTCACTCCACAGTGGACGGAATTCAGATTCTGAGGATGACGACTTGGGCTCTGACAGAAGCTCCACCATTTTTAGTAGAATACAAAGAGCAGAGTGCAGGCTAGACAGCGGCTGGCCACGACATTCACTCTTGCTGGATCTAGCTACCAAACGGGCCGTAAAGTCACGGGACAGCCACGCGGCCAGGAGAAGCAGCGGTGCTTCAGATGAGCCCAGGTGCACCTGTCCGCACGAGCCTGCCTGCTCGGGGTCTGGCCTCAGACACCCACTGTGCCTTCTGCTGCTGCTGCATTAACCCGGGGCCTAACTGCGCTGAGTCCTGAAACCTCACTCACTCACTAGATTTCAACCAGAAGCATCATGTATAACGTATTCCTTTGTGTATGAGCATGGGAGCTTAGAAGTCCGTAGCACCCACCATTCTCCTTTAGCGAAGCAGCGTGCAAGGCAGTGTGTGTTTGCCTGTGGCGTAGTTCTTTTGGAAAACGGTTCCAAAAAAAAAACAAAAACAAAAAAACTTTTCAGGGCAATTTCTTAATTTTACAGTTGTACTGTGTTTGGAGATGTGGACAAAGGAAACATGACAGAGACCAGGAAGGGCAGGTCTGATGGGAAAATGCAGAGAAAGGATTCCTTGGGGGTCTTCTATAAGACTCTAGAGTAATGTGTTTATTTTTTCAGCTGATCACACGAGCCTGTAGCCAACTCTGAAAGCTTTCCAGGGTCATTCCTTCTGGGCGAGGTGGGAAGTGGGCAGTTAGGCTACTATGTGTGGCATGTGGAGTGAGGGAGGGGTACCAGGGAGTCTGCCCTTGTTCTGGGGAGATGTAACTTGACCTGCGTTCCAGGCCCAGCCGGTGGCCTCCCTGGTGCCCACTTTTCCTGAAGTGTGTACTCTGCTCATGTTCCCTTCAGGGGTACCCTGGAAAGTCACAGGTGACAGCATGCAGTTCTAGTCTGTCTTCCTGGCAAGAGTCCCCTCTGTGGCCCTGTAAAATAGTGAGCCACTGTCACTGGCGTGTTGGTCTGCTACCTAAACAACCTTTTCTTCTCAAACTTAATCAGATTCTCCCTTTTTCTTTTCTGTGCTCCAGTCAGTTTTTATTGCTTCAGGCTTTCCAAACATACTCTGATGACATCTTGTCTTCTGAAACAAATGTCAGGATTGATCCCACTTCTGGCCCAAGGCTCATTACACGCAGAAGGAATCTCTCTCACGCAGCAGGCCATGGAAGGGGTGACTTCGAGTTGTCAGCCCTGGATCCTGACTTAGAAAACGATGACTTCTTTGTCCGAAGGATGGGGGCTTTCCACGCAAACCCGTGTGTTCTTCAAGCCTTTGAGGACTTTAGGAGGTTCTCTGAGCAGGACGATCCTGTGGAGCGAGACATAATTTTGCAGTGTAGAGAAGGGGAGCTTGTGCTTCCAGATTTAGAAAAAGACGATATGATAGTTCGGCGAATCCCAGCACAGAAGAAAGAAGTGCCTCTGTCTGGGGCCCCAGATAGATACCAGCCAGTCCCTGTCCCTGACCCCTGGACTCTACCTCCAGAAATCCAAGCCAAATTCCTGTGTGTGCTCGAGAGGACGTGCCCACCCAGAGAAAAAAGCCCCAGCTGTAGGATACTCGTTCCTTCATTTCGGAGGAAAGACGACGACATGCTGACCCGCAAGATCCGGTCTTGGAAGCTGGGGACCAGCGTGCCTCCAGTGAGCTTCACTCCTGGCCCCTGCAGCGAGGCCGACCTGCAGAAGTGGGAGGCCATCCGCGAGGCCAGCCGACGTCGGCACAAGAAACGGCTGATGGTGGAGAGGTCAGAGTGTGTTTCCACGAGGGTCGAGGGTCTTGCTTGTGATGGATCGTCTCGTAGAACGTGTGTGAACAGTCTGCCTACTGCTGCACCCTGCATGCGTGTGCCATTGGGAGGCATCCTGTAAAACTGCCTTGTGCCTTGAGGAACACGGCGTCACTTGTGGAAAAAGTGCAGTTCCATGTTTGCACACTTCTTCCTTGGGCCTGTGTAAGAAGGCACACACGCAGGCCTTGCCTTTGGTACTGTTCTGCAGTGTGAGATTTCACAAAAATGCTTCCCACTGAGGTTCACAAGCTCTTATTCTCATGTCCTAGCCTTACTGTAACGGTCTGGTATGGTTTGGTTTTCTGTGTTTCTTGCAGTTGGGAATGTCTGCTTTGGGGAGTAGATTTCATGTCAAATATGGCATTGCAAATTTCATTTAACTTGATTTTTGTTTTTGAACTAGGGTTATTGGACTATCAATTTGTAATTTAAGTTTATCCATGAAGTTCATTGCAAACTTTGGTGTTAAATGCATGAGTGTTATCTGGTGTTTTCTGAATTTTACTTATGTATAACCGGTGGTCATTTTAATAATTTGTGATATGCATCCTGTCTTTTTGATGAATGTTGAGTTTGTTGAATTTAGGGATGGACAAATCTGATTAGGTTGAATCAAATTAATAGACTAGTTGTAATTTACCACTTCCGGACAGCTGGGATCCTTTCCTGATGGATTTGTTGGTTTGGAATAAATTGAGAAAATCTTCAGTTGACTTTGTTTCACTTCCTTGAGATACGTAGAAGAAGCCTTTTGAGGTTTGTCCATCTCCAAATAGATTTTTAAGTTACAGTTAGAAACTAATAAAACCAGAAAATGACTTTTTTAATTGTATTTTTTGATTTTCTGGTTTCTTAGACTCTTTCAAAAGATTTATGGTGAGAATGGGTAAGTTTTCTGGTTCACAGAAAAAAAAAAAAGCTTGTGCATATTGTTTGTTCTTTGTGTAGTTTGTCATTGCACTTCTATCCTGGCATGTCACTAAAAGGGGGTGCTGTGTGCAGTGCATGAGATTTTTAAAATGCAAAGTTTTCATTAATTTTGCAACTAATGGTGGTACGTCTGTGTGTGTCTGAGTGTCCAGTGCATGAAGTGCTATGTGAAAGCAATAGCTTTGTTGCATTAGAAAATTTATATTTAAAATTAGCTCATTAAAAGTAACATAATGCTTGCCCAGGGTTGGGTATATTTATTTTGGTTTGACTACTGCATAGAGTAAAATTATAATTTCTGAATGCTGAAGCCAAAATAACTACGTATTTATTCAAGGTTAGAATGCATGCAGTTGGCACTTTCCATAAACTCAGCTCGTGGGGAGCTTGTTAGCAGGGATGGTGAGTGGTGTGAATCTTCCCTTAGTAGTATTTGGGAATATTTTCAAGATTCCCGGTGAAGAATCTTGCAGCATGGCTGTGTTTATAGAGCAAAGTTGGCTTTCCAAAATAGCAAAAATTAGAATTATAGTAGTTTCCAGCATTGTTGTGGGCACTATATTTATAACTAATTCTCAGTTTTTGGTTTACTGACTAATTCTAATCTGGTAGACATGATATTATGACACCAGTTTTCTTGAAGCAGTTTCTAGAATAATTGAAATTTAATAATAAGTAAATCACTCATTCTTCTTGCAAAGTTAGCAGGTGGTTATCTCTTAATATTTTCCAGGAAGAATGGTGTAACTTGTGACTCTAACTGCTAATGCTTTTTGAGTAAGGGCAAGACAGTTTAAAGATGTTACATATTTTAATCTGTATAAGCCTTGGTGGCTAAATAGTTTCTCTGGGTACGATTTGTATAACCGTTAAGCCTGTCTAGTTTTGATAGTTCATGGAGACCTTGGATGCTACTGAAATGAGCATTTCAAGCAAGATAACCATTCCAGATGGTGGCTGATTCCAAGTCCTTCGCAGCCACTGCTTTTCAAAAATCAGATTCCCAGCCCATTTCAGTGTGCCAGATAAAGGCATGTTGTCTGTCTAGATCCTCATGTGCTTAGATGTCTTCCTCTGTCCGGGTCAGTGAGGCAGTTTTCAGCATGACACTTAAGCATTTACTCTTCTGGGTTCATCATGGAAAAGCTGCTTTAGTTTGATTAAAATCCCTTTGCAGCTTCAAGCATCTTGAATTAAATTTCAGAAAAAATTTCCATTTTTTGATTAAATATGATTTTATAATATAAGTAGGTGTCGGGAATAGATGCTTCTCTTAAAGGGGACAGAAGGGCCCAGAGTACAGATGCTGGATGGGAAGACAAGCATATGGGACCTTTTCCGTGATTGTACGTGTTCCTCCGCTGTAGAGGCTCCATTATAATTTCTGAGGTCAAAAAGGCACTCCAAATGCCCAAACCTAAGAAGCAAGTGTGTGTTTGGCCTATGTCTAGGTGGGAGGACAGCAGCGGCAGCAGCAGCAGCGGCGGCAGCAGCCAGTGCTCTCTGGAGAGCACTCGTAGATAGTTGTTTGGGTAGCACAGTGTTTGTTTTGAAGGCTGTTCCGCATGCAGTTGGGTGCCAAGGTAACCACACAAATAAAGCAAGATTACCTGTAAATTGAGATTGATGAATAACTCATGACTTGTCAAATAATGGAAAATAATATAAGCGAGTCTTCAGAAAACTCGTGTGCTCTAGACCACTTGAAATCAAATCAGTCATATGGTTTTTTTTTTTCTTCTATATTCTGTCAGTTACCAGTGTTCTTAAGTTGATCTGCAATAAAAATGAAATACAAATTTAAGTTGGATTACCCTTGGGCTTTTAATTTAGAACCGATTCTGTGTTTAGGCTGGGTGATCTTTTCTCTGAACATCATGTATATTGTCAAGCGTGGCATACTTGCCTGGGAAAGTATTATTGCTCAATATGCTATAATTGAAAACAATAGCTGCCTGTTACACGAATGCCTTCTTTTTGGTAAGGACCAGGTTAAAGGCAAATGTACACTTTGTTTTGAAGTCTTAGGCTGCTAATTTCTGGCTTGCTTTTTATTTGGCTTTTAACACCAGTCAGTTTATTTTTAGTAAGATTGCTTTGAATGTGGCTGTCATTCGTCATGTGTGTGCTTCTGTGTGGCATGAACTTATGTCTTCAGAGACCTCCTAAAGTTTTGAAGTTCGGTGATGTCGCCTTCTGACAGAGGTGTTAATAGCATAACCAAACTTGCTGAGAGAGTTTATAAAGGTGATTCTATAGTGGGATTAAGCATGGACTATGCTGCCAGTCTGGTCAGGAAATGCACAGCGATTCATAGTGAAGCTGTCAGCAGACACGTAAGACATCCATATCTCACTCACGGATTTTGCCCAAAACCTTCTTTAGAACATAACACACAGAAGACAGCAAAAAGCAAGTGGGAAACAAGTTCATGTAGGTTACTTTCTGGGGATTTTTCACCCCAGAGGACATTTGGTTCTGTCTGGAGATAACTTTCTGTTATCATAATATGTGTTTGTGTGTGTGTGTGTGTGTGTGTGTGTGTGTATACACACACATGCTAGTGGCATCCACTTCCTTTGTAGCCAGGGTTGCTGCTAAATATCCTACAATACACAGGACAGCCCCCTCCAGCTGATAATTTGCTGGCCTCCATAGGTCTGTAGCGCTGCTTCTGAGACCTTGATTGAGCCTACAAATCTGTGTAAATGAGAATCCTCATTGTAGAACCTTATCATTCTAGTTTATGGTAATTCCAAAGCTTCTCACCAAGGTTTTTGCTTGACTACTCTTCTGAGCGTTCCTAATACGTGATACCTAATGACATAAATAAGCATAGTCTTGCCTCCTCTGCAAGTTGGGGGCCATTAACTTAGTGTCATGGAATTTTGGTTTTCTGTGTAAGGCTTTCATTGACTTTATAGCAAAGAAAATTTGCCATGTATTAGTCTTTTTCATTCCTTACTCCTTAGATATTCATGTGTAAAATTCTGAAGTTGAGTTCTAAAAGTAATACGTCTTGATACTAGCCCAAAAGCCTCAGGAGTGTAGTAAGTGGCCAGCCTGATGGAAGAAGAGAGTGACGCTTGCCTCTTGTTTTAGGATCAGCGTCTTCTTCCTAAAGCATTCCCTGTCCTGTCTTCCTCATAAATGCTGTTTTAAAGACAAAATTTTATTCACCCAAAAAGGCAAGATGTTAGGCCTGCATCTTTGGGGGTGGGGGAACAATATCCAAATGCAGTTCTAAATTGGAGTCTTTCCAAACAAGGCAATGTGAATGCAGTTGAGTTTTAAGAATTCTGTGGCTTGTTGGTCAACAGCCCCTCGCTAGAGCTGTGCAGGTCTCTGTAATTTGCCCCCAGTTTTCCTGACTCTGTCCCTGGTGCTTCTGTCAGTTCTCTCAGGTAGACAGGTAGGTGTTCTTTGCATTTCAGAGATGTGGAGAAAGAGAAGCAGATACTGCCGCTTTCCCAGGGCTGTGGACTGTTGAGTGGTAGGACTGGACGGGGGCTTTGCCTCGTGAGATAAGCCATGCCCGCCTGGCCTGCAGCAAGCCCTCAGGAGTTTAATATTGTGCTGCTAATGCTGATAAGGAGGGAAGGAATCCTTTATGCTCTGCCTGGGAGACTCCTGTGCTGCAGAAGTTCTAGATTTTATCAGTGTCGTCTGGGGTGACCTCTCTAATGTGAAGTAGCTTGGAGAGTTAGCTTACGGGAGCTCCTGCACCATCCTATTTGTTTTAATAATTGCTGGTTTGTAGCAGCAGATGCTTTTTAAAATGTACTCAGTGTGACCTTATCCAGTTCTCACAATCCTCACGTAGCAGATGGATAACTGAGGCTCAGAGGAACGAACCCACATGTGTCGGGTAAAGCCTTGAAACCTGTCCCACAGCTGGGCCTTGAGCCCTCTCCTGCCATCTCCTGCTGCCTGCCCAGTCTGCCCTGGAGCGTGCTTGGGCTTTCTGTGGGTAACTTCATACACCCCAGGGAACAGATCGAGCTCCCATTCCTGCCTTCACATGGGCCTGTCTGCTTCAGGCTGTACCGGGCTCACTCTGTTCATACTGAGGCCCTCCGTGGAGCACAGGAGGGTGCAGCCTCTGTCCTTGGTGGGCACACTTCATGGAAAGACACGTTAACCTCGCAGTGCAGGAGGGTGAGGGCTGAAAGAGCCCCTTTGGGAGAGTCTGGGCCAGTTGAGTCTTCTTCCCAACAAAAGATTCCTGAAATATTAGCACTTCCATTTTTGTTCCTTCTGAGAGGGCTATGCACATAGAGTCCCCTCATGCCGTGGTCCTTGAAAACTGGTCCTGATTCCTCTTTGTGAGCCTGTTGTAGAGCTTGAGTAGCCTCCTTTTCTTGCTATGACGTAATCAGTAAGTACATGTTCTCAGATTCACACGTTACTTTTGTGTGTAGTCATACCTGGGTAGGTACACTACATTAATAGACCCATGTCTTTTTATAGATGTCCTCATATAAGGTCTATTCTCCCAAATAACATTTCTTAATATTCCTTAATCAATCTTATAAGACTTTCTTTTAATTCTTTTAGAACTCTGGAAATTATTAGTACTTTACCTCACAAGAGGAATTGCAAACATTTCAAGCGTAGGGTGTTTTGCTTGATAAAAAGGCAAGTTTGACTTCGTTCTTAGCACAGATGCTAAATGAGCACGTCCTGTGTGCCTTGTGCTGTGTGAAGTCCTCTTCATCCGCAGCAGCCTGTGACTGGAGGGAGAGGGGCTGAGCAGGTGTGCACGTGCTCTGTGTCTTCTGAAGCTGAGTGTTTCTACCGTGAGGGAGGTGGAGCTGAAACGCCGGGGCAGCTGAAAGGACAGACCACTTTACCTTAGATGCGGAAGAGCTCAGAAGACTTCATCACAGCGGTCGGATGTTCTCTGGGTCGCTGATGGACCCCACTTCCTGAGCACTTCCCATGAGTGGGGCTCCCTTTTAGGCACAGGTGGTAGACTAGACAAATGAGGCAAAGTTCCTGCTTTATAATGTTACAGTGCAGGGCAGGTGATATGTACAAAATAGGTGCATTATCGATGATGATAAATGCTATGGAAGCCCAAGGATAAAGTTTTGTGTGAGCCAGGGGAGAGGAGCATTTGCTGCGTCTCATAGGGGGATCAGGGAATGAAAGACTCAGGTAACATTTAAAGAGATGCAAGATTGGCCGGCGCCGTGGCTCAATAGGCTAATCCTCCGCCTTGCGGCGCCGGCACACTGGGTTCTAGTCCCGGTCGGGGCGCCGGATTCTGTCCCGGTTGCTCCTCTTCCAGGCCAGCTCTCTGCTGTGGCCCGGGAGTGCAGTGGAGGATGGCCCAGGTCCTTGGGCCCTGCACCCGCATAGGAGACCAGGATAAGCACCTGGCTCCTGGCTTCGGATCAGCGCGATGCACCGGCCATTGAAGGGTTAACAAATGGCAAAAAGGAAGACCTTTCTCTCTGTCTCTCTCACTCTCCACTCTGCCTGTCAGGAAAAAAAAAAAAAAAAAAGGCAAGATGAGCCATGTGAGCATTTCATTGGGGGAGCTTTCCAGGCAGATGGGAGAGTAGTAGGAGGAGCAAGAGTTTTGAGCAGAGGTATGGAGCTCACTTGGCTGCAGCGAAGTGAGTGGGGCATGCTGGGGTAGGTGTAGAGGGGCACGTAGGAACCAGATGTCAGACCCGAAAGATCTCTGAAGAGCCGCTTTTAACTTGCGGGTGCTGGGAAGAAACTGGTGGGTGTGGAGTAGGGGCATGGCATGCATGGCCTGAGTGCCATCTGCAGGAATCTCTCTGGCTTCTGATAGAGAATACAATATGGGCCAGAAGGGCTGGGAACGGGAATGTTATTGAAGTAATCCAGAAGGGAGAGATGATGACTTGGAGTAGGGTGGTAACCATGGAGGTGGTAAGAGTAGCTGCATCCTTGATAGGGTGGAGGGTGGCGTGAAGGGATTTGCTAGGGCATTCTGAGACGACTCCAAGATTTTTGACCGCAGTCTGGAAGCATGTTGTTGTTAGGTGAGATGAGCAGATTGTGGAGGGTGCAATCCTGTTTTTAGTCTGTGACCAGCTAAGTGTGAGATGCCTGTTAATCTACCAAGTGCAAGAGAGTGAAAATGAAGTTTGGTACAACCATTCAGAGTTTAGTGTAGCAGGGACCTCACGGAATGGGTGGTATTTCAGAGGATATGTATTCTTGGGAAGGATGCCTGAGTTGGAGGGAGCAGTGGAGAAAGACCTTCTCTGGGTGAGGATTTCTGTAGCTTTTGGAAGTCCTGGCAAAAGTTCGCTGTGCTCTGATCTGGGGTGTTGGCTACAGAGATGGAAAGAAAGAGACACAGACTGGGAGGCCTTGGTGACTAAGTGCAAGTGGGAGAAGGAAGAAACAAAGGTGAAACATGGTTCTTCAGTTTCAGATGGGCCTGAGCAGGGAGCAGGCAACGTCATTAGCAGTCACAAGAGGAAAAGCAGGTTTGGGAACAAGATTAAGCCTGGCTGTGTCAACAAAACCATATGTTTAGCGAGTTACAGTTTACAAAATCCTGTCCAGCTGTTATTTCAACTGATCCTTCTACAGTTGAGGTACCTAGGGGATGTCCATGCAGAAATGTTTAGTTCAACAAGCAGTTGCAAATGAGTCAGATGGGCTGGCCCTCAGCTTTGTGGGTTTGGGAGTCGTTTGCATGGGAGTGATTGCATTCCCGAGCCAGCCAAGGCTGAGTGTGTATAAAAGAAATAGGGAGGGAAAGTTGTGAGGAAGGCGAAGTTTAGATGCCTAAGAGGGTGGAAACGTCTAGAGTGCGAAAGGCCTGTAGGAAAGTGAATGGGGCGGGGGGAACCCCATCTTCAAACGCTCTTTCTCGCCCTCTGTTTCCTTCCTACTTGCTCACTATTCAGATCCAAGCCCTCTGTTTCTAAGAGGCTTTCCACAGTCTTCCTTTTCCTTGGTGTACAGTTCACTAACCCCTTGTAGGTGCATATGTGTAGGCAGCATTCACCTTGTGTCGAGGCAGTGTTTACCTGGCTCGGTTCGCTGGTTTCTTTGTGCTCTTCAAGAACTAACCCCCAGTCCTTCTTCCTGGAGGTGCTACGAGTGGAGCAAGCAAAGTCGCCTCTGTGAAGAGGTCCAGGGAGGTGGTTGGTTGTAACTGGCTTTTTGAAACTGTAGTGCCTTCAGAACAAGTTCAGTGCAGTGGTAGTGCAGCTCTTACAGAACCTCTAAGAGGCAGGAGCACACACATTCGTGGTATTGAACTTGAGGAGAAAATATCAGGTAATCATTAAATTATTTAATAAGTGCCCAGAAAAGGAGCCAACCCTTAAAAGATTGTGTGGGAGATACAAAAATACAGACGGACAATTCTAGTGACTAATAGCTATTTTTTTTTCTAAAGTGACCCTTATGCATTGATATAAAGACTGGATTCATCTTTTTTTCAGAAAAGAAAAGTGTCTAGGGTTCACTTAGCTGTTTCGTGTGAAAAATAATTCACACCCGAGCTAGGCTCTTGTTTCTGCGTTTTGGAAAAACACCATTTATCTCTGTAGTGCTATTTCTGTGATGCTATCACTCCAGTGTCTGGGCCGTACAGCAGAAATTTAGATGGAATTTCCAAGCATAAGTCCAACCTGCCAGTTTTAACCCCAAGTCTGTTCTGTGAACCTTAGTAACCGCAGATACTTCTGTCGTAGGAGCAAGTCCATGAGTGATGTCAGCGCGGAGGATGTGCAGCACCTGCGTCAGCTGCGTTATGAGGAGATGCAGAAAATCAAATCACAATTAAAAGAACAAGACCAGAAATGGCAGGATGTGAGTATTCTTGAAATTAGGAGAGGGGGGACTGGGTGTGTGACTTAAGCGATTGTACTCAAGGCAAAGTATTCAGTTCTGTAGAAAAGGGGATCAGCTTCCTTGACCAGGATTTTAAAGCCTTTTTGGCCTATTGCTGTCGCATATTTTAAGAGCTATCCTTAGACAGTGTGTTCCTCTGCCGTGTTCCGAGGTCTCAAGAACATGAAGCTGCTTCCTTGCCATGTCGTCGGCTTGTGGTCTTGGTTTGGTGGGTGAGCTTGGACTGTGACTGTTAGCTATGCTTTTGCTGGGAGAAGACCTTGCTCAAGGTTGGGATAGAAGAGGGCAGGGGTCTGCTGAAGACCTTGGCCTTAGTAGGGAAAGAGGAAAATAGTTGTAAAGTCAATTGAAGGGATTGGGCAGAAATAAGAAATACAGCCCCAGGTAACGTTTGTGCTGAAAAAGTCATTATCCAGTTTGAATTAAAAAATGACTTATTTTCCCAGAGTGGATACAATCCCAACTGTTTCTATGGATGTAAACTTGATCTTTAGTTTTGACCCTGAAGACCAAAGCTTGGTCTATTTCCAAATAGTAATTGTTATAAACTAAAAGACTATAAGAGACTACGGTAGACAAACTGTACACAAACCCAATGACGTTTGGAAACAGGTTTCTGGTGAGAGAGTTACATGGTGGTGTGAACAAAAGGGTCTGAGACAGTAAATCTTAATTTTCAAAGAAATTAGAAGTCTGTGCAATGAAGAAGAAATCCTTCCCTTGGCTACATTTCTAAATTACAAGTGCCGCTTTTAGTTGAGGGCTCCATTGGCAAGAAACAGTAGTTTAATATCATTTTTCCTAAAAGCATGGTGATTATTTTGATATGAAAATCCTAAGTATTGAAGGGGTGGTGGTTATCCATTGGGTTAAATCAGATGAAGTTTCCTGTCAGTCATCCCACAGGACTTAACGCCCACTGCTTCTGTTCTGTCGGGAAGTAGTCCATACTGACTTGAAGCTGGTTTGAAGGCAGTGGTGGCTCTTCTCCCAGAGGGAATAAACCACATCCACTCTGTGTGTCCTGGAGTGAGGTTCCATTTGGTCTGAGACGTTGGCTGTACTTCTGTTTGGACTGGAATGCCCCCTTGCAGCCCTCAGCCTGCTGGTTCTCTGTCCAAACGTCTTAACCCTCTGGGTGGCAGAACAGCCCAGGTCGCAAAGGGTCACTAAAAAACTGAATTGGGTTGATTGTCCCAAGGTCCCCCTGCTCTGTCAGACTTAGCCAGCGGTCCTGGGAGCTGAGAAAGAGGTGTTGGATTCCTCCTTACCCTCCTGTCCTGTGTGGACCTTGCTGTCTTTGTGAGTGACTCTCAAGTCCTCATGCAGGTCTCTGCACGCCCTGCCCCTGCAGAGGTGGCCCTGTCTGCCAGCTCCGGGAAGCTCCTCTCCCAGGCTGTCCTGCCACACAAGCCCATCACTGAGCTTCTGTTTCCATGTCTGCTCCTCCTCTCCACTGAGACTTCCTGGGAGGGAGCATGTCTTACTCATCTGTGGGTTTACAGTTCCCAGCCCCAGGCCTGCCTCAAAGTAGGGGTTGAGCTTGTCTGTTAAAGGAAAGACCGAGTGTGCGTCCAGCTTAACCATTGCAATCGCATTTCTAAGTTTGGGTCCTGCCAGTGAGGCGTGTCGTTTCATGTAACAGCCAGGCTTTTGGAGCAAGATGAAAATGCATTTGAAACAGTTCCTTATCTGTCTCACCCGGCACCCAATTACAAGCATTTAGCATTCTTTGTGAAATGGGCAAAGAGGCAAGACTTTCTGGGAGAATAGAAATGGGGTCTCTCTTATTAGGTCAGGTTTTTCAGACGGACACATGAGATACAGTCTTGGTTCAGAAACACTGGCTATAAAAAGCAAAATGAGGGCACGCTGGCATCAAGAGGGAGTGAATAGTGCCAGGGATGTAACAGGAGACGCAGGCGCTTTCCCAGGGCTGGAAAGGGTGTGCGTGAATTCAGGTGTGCCTGCGCTGATGTGATTTTTCTCTCAGGACCTTGCAAAATGGAAAAGTCGGCGGAAAAGTTACACTTCAGACCTGCAGAAGAAAAAAGAAGAGAGGGAAGAAATTGAAAAGCAGGCACTTGAGAAGTCTGAGAGAAGCTCCAAGACCTTTAAGGAAATGCTGCAGGACAGGTAAAAGGGCTGAATGTTCCTCACGGGTGGGAACAGCAGCGCTCGGCGCTTGTGTAAGTACAGGATGATGTAAGTGTTCATCAGTGTGAAGTTCTAATCAAATAGGCACTGAAACCTTCAGGGTTTTGTTGTGAAGTTTTAAAAAAAAAGTATTGCTTGGCCTGTGACTTGGATTAACCAAAGAATTGAGTGCTGAAAGTAGATGCTCAGTATGTCTGTTGTGTTCTGTAGTACATTTGCATGTGGAATTGGATGGTATTTGCTGTATTTGCTGTAGGAAATACTCTTCTCTCTCTAAAGTATCTCTATGAATGGAATGGTCAAAGTAGCTCTTTTAACTAAGTTGTGTAGAATGTGACAGGGTTATTGCATGTGTCTCAGTGGTACAGTCCAAATTATATTTTAAAGGAGGTCTCTGTAAGCAGACGCAGGGGGCTGTTCATTCTTTGCATCGCAACACACAGGATCCAGATCCAGGTTGAGCTTTCGTGTAAAGCAGTTACTTTGTGAAACACCAGTGTATTTATAGTTCAAGGAGAAGGCAAATATGCTTTGAGCCTGATGTTAAAAGGGAAATATGCTGTCAGCTGAAATTAAACAAAACTGCTTTGTGTGGGAAAAGTCAACGATCAACACAGTTTTATTCAGTTCAATGCAGTGCAGAAGGACTGAGAAATAGGTAGTAAATCTTACTAAAAGAGATGACGATGTTTCAGTTTGTTTCTGAAATGATTTTTAATTCCTAATAGTTGTCCACACAAGTACTATCAAGACATACGAAACTGTTCACTGCCTTGATCTTGACAGAAACCTGAGTCTTGTGGTCCTCTTTTTTTGTTTACTAGCTTATTATACATTTTATGCAGTAGAAAAAATTCAGAATGATGTCAGGGCTCCACAGCCTTGGAAATTTCAAATTAGTTAAGTCAATTCTATTTATAATGTTTTAATTTTGGAAGAATTATAAACAGGACTAAAACTTTGTGAATACTCTCTTATGAACATTCCCCTATTTCATTATTAACATCTTCTTATGATAAAAAAAATTCCTGTGAAGTAGATGAGAACCTCTTTAATAAAAAGTCCAGTTCCTACAGCCTTTCATGGTTGTGGCCTTGAAAAAAAAATGTATATATTTTTCATCACAGTCTGTTAGTGTTGTATTGATTAGTGTGTTGTCAGGAGCCTTTTTATTACCAGATCATTTAACGTGTCAGTTGCTGTCTCTCCATGTCTCGTGTGAAGTATGTAACATTGTGGTGTTGGGGTGTTTCTTTCTAAGGGAATACCAACATGAAAAGTCTGCATTTACACTAAGAAGAATGTATTCCTCTGATGATGTATTGAACAGTGAGGAGCAACCCGCAAGACTGATTGTGTCAGAAGCAAGTTACCAGAGTGAGAGAGTGGAAAAAGGGCTAGCTCCTACCCCAGCTTTGTCAGAAGCAAGCTACGGGAGTGAGAGAGTGGAGAAAGGGCTAGCCCCTACCCCAGCTCTGTCAGAAGCAAGCTACGGGAGTGAGAGAGTAGAGAAAGGGCTAGCTCCTACCCCAGCTTTGTCAGAAGCAAGCTACGGGAATGAGAGAGTGGAAAAAGGGCTAGCTCCTACCCCAACTCTGTCAGAAGCAAGTTACTGGAGTGAGAGAGTGGAGAAAGGGCTAGCTCCTACCCCAACTCCGTCAGAAGCAAGTTATTGGAGTGAGAGAGTGGAAAAAGGGCTAGCTCCTACCCCAACTCCGTCAGAAGCAAGTTACTGGAGTGAGAGAGTGGAAAAAGGGCTAGCTCCTACCCCAGCTCTGTCAGAAGCAAGTTATTGGAGTGAGAGAGTGGAGAAAGGGCTAGCTCCTACCCCAACTCCGTCAGAAGCAAGCTACGAGAGTGAGAGAGTGGAACAGAAGGGCCCAGCGTTCCGTACAGAAAGTCCTAAAGAAGACTCAACAACTTTTACAAAAAGAGAGGACAGTATAATAGCTGAATTCCAGCTTCCTTCTCGAAAGCCCACAGAAGAGCGTCCACCCTCTGTATCTTCTGAACATTCACTGCGCACACAAATGGAGGCGACTCGAGTTTCAGCGTCTCTCCCCAGAAGCTACCAGAAAACTGATACAGCCAGGTTGACATCTGTGGTCACACCGAGACCTTTTGGCTTCCAGTCAAGGGGAACCTCATCACTCCCCAGATCTTACACGGTAAAAATGGCCCCAGTTCCTTTAGTCTGTTCTGAAGAGCAGAGTGTTGAACTTGTGCAGAGGCTGGAGTTACGTATAATTGATGTGTCAAGTGTACATAACGTACATATAAAACAGTTTAATTTGTGCCTGTTTGTAGGCAATAGAAATGCTTAAAATATTGCAGGGAGTCAGAGTTGTGCAAGTAAGACTGATACATTTTGATGGTTGATTGGTTTGGTTTGAAAGGCAGAGTGACAGGGAAGGAGAAGGGGAGGGGGACAGACAGTGAGTGAGAGACCTTCCATCTTTTGGTTCACTCCCCAAATGACTGCAACAGTCAGGGCTGGGCCAGGTGGAAACCAGGAGCCCAGACCTAATCTCCCACATGGGTGTCAGGGACCCAAGTGCTTGGACTGTCATCACTGTCTTCCAGACATGTTGGCAGGGAGCTGGGTGGGAAGGGCTAGCTAGAACAGGCCCTCAGATAGATGATGCGCATCCCATGGAGTAGATTAACCCACTGTGCTACAACACAGGCCCCAGGATGATATATTTTAAAGAATGAGTATGAGAACTTCTGAGGCAGACCAATTATTTCTTAGCATCATATTTTTTTTTTCAAATATAGCTTTCTTAAAGTATCACACAATACAAGTTGGCCAGTAGTCAGCACTTGTTGGTCAACAAATATGTAGTCTAAATATTTTCAGGAACCTAACTACTAATTTCTGCATTTTCCTGATTTCCCAGTTAGTCAGATCTTGATATGTTTGAATATAGTTATTAAAATGTATCTTGGTCAAATAGATGTATATTTAGATTGGGTTTTTGAAGGACATAAAATAGTGAAAAATCCTGGGATTGAAAGGATACTGCATATGCAGCAGCAAGAGAGTTAACCTGAGTTATCTGAAAGGAAGTAGTAAGTTTTAAGATTAATATTCAAATTTCCTTTTAGCTCTGCTAAAGTATATTCCCAAAAATCTAAAAGATAAAAAAATACTTTAAAAAACAAAGTATTTCAGATAAGAAAAACCAACCTAAATGAGCCAGGAAATCCTTGACAGTTATATGGAGGAAAATAAGCACATTTGGCAAACTACAAATTATATTTAGGGGCGGCCATCATGGCATAGTGGGTTAAGTTGTGGCTTGGGATGCCCACCTCTCATGGGAGAGCCTGGGATGGAGTCCTGCCTCCGCTCTGGTCTAGCTTCCCTGGTACTCACCCTGGGAGTTAGGGAATAAGAGCCCAAGTACTTGCATCCCTGCCACCCACATGGGAGGCCAGGATGAAATTCTTGGCTTTTGGCTTTAGTGTGATATAGGTACTGCTGTAGCAGGTGTTTGGGGAGTGAACCAAGGTATGGAGGATCTCTTCTCTCTCTCTCTCTCTCTGCTGCTCTGTTTTTCATCAAATAAGTAAAAATAAATACATTTTAAAGAAAACCCAGTTGGGTTCTCTGTTTCCACTTGTTTGAAGCTTAAGAATAATACATTTATATGCCAGACACCATTAACATGGTCAAAAGCAACTGATAGGCCCAAGAAAAAAAAATCTCAGCAAATTATATGATAGATAAAAGTTTCATATCTTTCAGATGGAAACAGTTTCTGCAAATTGGAAAGGGAAAGATAAAATGGATATAGGAAATGAACAGTGAGTTTTAGGGAGAGGGATTCTCAAAAGCTGCTAACATAAAGCAAGTGGAAACATACCTGCTCCGGAGCGTCCAGCATTCCCTGTCAGACTGACAAAGATTTAAAACACTGGAAATGCCTAGTGTTGGTGAAGAGTCAGGGAAACATACTTTTTTATATACTATTTAGAGAACGCACTGCTAGAAGTTTTAAAGAAATTGTACCTACTTAAAACCCCTAGATCCAAGAAATCTACTTCTGGAATTATGAGCTCTAAAATGAAAGTTCCAATTATAAACATGTATGGATATTTGTTGCAGTTTGGGAAGTGATAGAAAACGTCCAACAGCTTTTAATGCACATCAGATGAGGCAAGTGTTGATGGACACGATACTGAGGATTCAACTGTTACACAGGGCCTGGTTTAGAGTTCTGTCACCTACAGTGATGTAAAAAGCACCTCAGATTTCAGAAGACTGCACAAAACAATGCTTTTGTTAAAACCACGGTTCCTCCCTCCGCATAATGTTTTTTCAGTTTGGAAGAATGTACTCTAGAATTTTAGCAGCACTTTGCTCTGGGGCATATGTGTTACTTGTGTCATTTAAAAAATAGTAATGAGTATGTCTTTTAAACAGAAAATAAAGACAATAGATCTATCAAGTTTAAAACAGTGTCTCCTTCCTCTGTTTAGATGGATGATAGTTGGAAGTATAATGGAGATGTCAAAGGCTTTAAGAGCGTTCAAAATAATTCAAGCAGCACCTCTGCCCCCAGACCTGACACAAGTCACCTCTCAGGGAGTTTATCCATTGAGAGACAGGCAGCCACAGAAGATGTGGTGAGACTGCCCTCTCCTACACCCTCCTCCTCGTCTCTGTCTCAAGACCAGGCTGTCACCTCTAAAGCCACGCTGTCTACATTGTCTGGCACCGATTCCACGTCTGAGTTTGGAGAAGGGAGATACTCACCACAAAGAGAAGTCTCCAGCTCGCAGGTGAGTTGGGAAGGCTCTCTGTGTCATCCACGGCTCCGATAGATACATCAGGATTTAAATCTGGAAACCTCCTTCGAAGCTCCAGGTGTTTGAGTCGAGGCTGGCAACATGCCAAGTTGTATCAGGGTTTACTTGTAACAGATCTAGTGACCTTTAGTACTACTTCATATTCTAGAACGCTTAGAATTCTGCATGGCTTCCTGTCTCTTAATGGGAATAAAGAGGTTTAGTTATACTATGACAGTGCACTGCTTAACATTTGGAGTCCAAGGGCCTGCATTTGATGTAGTGGTTAAGATACTGCTTGGAATGACTGCATCCCATGTTGGAGGGCTCGAGTTTGAATCCTGGCTCTACTCCTGATTCCAGCTTCCTGTTATTGCATACCTTGGAAAGGCAGCAGTTGCTGGCTGAACTACTTGGGTCCCTACCACCCATGTGAGAGACCCAGAATGAGTATCCAGCTCCTGGCTGTGACCTGGCCCAGCATGAGCTGTTGCTGGCATTTAGGCAGTGAACCAGTGGATGTAAGATCATGTTCCCTCCCTCCCTCCCTCCCTCTCTGACTTCAAAAAAAATATACTCCAAACAAAATATACCATCAAGTAAAGAATGACCAGGGTTGGGGGCACGGGGGGGAAGGGAGAAATTTGTAAAATGCTAACACATGTCTTTTAAGAAATTTTTATTAGGTAATAACTGTTCCTTTTAGCTTATGTATACACATAGTAAAAGTCTTTGTCTAGCAAACAGGAGGCTTTTCTCTTTGAGAACAGACCTTGTTGAGCAATTTGAGTTGTATGAACCCCTTAGCATCAAGGAGCTTTTGTGTTTCTTCGGTTTGTTCTAATACATTCTGTTACCTGACTAGAGTATGTTGTTTTCCAAAGCAAAGCATCAAGTATTTAATTTGGCCAAGGCTATATTAGTGAAATAAATTTCTGTGAAATTATTTAATACAGCATTTTTAGCATTAGATTTTTATTTGTATAGGAGGAGAGCTTTAAAATTTTTTTTCTAGTTATAAAGTTCTGTGTGCCTGGGAAAATCTGGAAATGCAGGAAGATATAAATAATGAGAACATCTGATATATCCATTATTTGGAAATAATCGTTAACCTTTGGATATATTTTTCATAGTTTTTTTTTCCTGTATATATTTACAAACATATGCAAAAACAATTTATCCAGCTTTTAATTTTTAATTTCTTTGAGTACCCTTTTTGTTTATTTGAAAGGCAGAATTCCAGAGAGAGGGAAAGACAGGGATGGGGAGTGGTTTCCCTCTCTCCACTGGTTCACCCCCCAAATGGCCACAATGAACAGGGCTGGCCCAGCCCGAAGCCAAATGCCCAGAATTCCATCTGGGTCTCCCACATGGGTGGCAGGGGTCCATTCACTTGGATCATCTTCTGCTGATTTCACAGGTGCATTAGCACAGAACCAAATGGGAAGTGGAGCAGCTGGCACTCGAACCAGAACTCATGTGGGATGCTAGCCCTTGTTCGAGTTTTTGTTTTTTTTTAAAGAGTTATTTATTAATTTGAAAAGCACAGTTACAGAGAGGGGGAGAGAGAGAGGGAGAGAGAGAAAGTGAGGTCTTCCGTCTTCTGATTCACTCCCCAAATGGCTGCAAGTGCCAGAGCTGGGCTGATCCGAAGGCGGGAGTCAGGAGCTTCTTCCGGGTCTCCCATATGGGTGCTGGGGCCCAAGCATTTGGACCATCTTCCACTGCTTTCCAAGGTGCATTATCAGGGAGCTGGATCGGACGTGCAGCAGCTGGGACGTGCACTGGTGCCTATATAGGATGCTGGCACTGCAAGCTACAGCTTTACCTGCTATGCCACAGTGCCAGTCCCTGTTCAATGTGCCAGCCCTGTGATATTGCATATGATTATTTTAAGAAAGAAAAGCCTGGATCCTATGGCAGTATTGTGGTCCTATGGTATTTTGTGCCATAAAGAGGGAAAAGCGTGATGAAGGACTTAACATGTCCTCAGTTAAACTCTGCTGCAGGAACTTCCTGTAGCTGGGGATTTTGTCCTTTTCCTTTCGTTAGCCTTCCTCCGTCTTGTGTGGTTTGCTTTTCTCCTCACCGCCCTTGCCAGTCCAGGCTGACAGGGCAGTTCTGGGGGATCCTGGGAAAGGAGAAGGGAGCATGACCTAGTCCTTCCCCTCTCCAGCCGCCTTGCCAACGAGGCTTTCCCCACTTCCCAGAGCAGTCTTGCCTGCAGGTTTCTCTTCGGCCTTTTCAAAACCTGCACTCTTGAGCCTCATCCGAATCCACCATCCTGAACCGCTGCCCCAGATTTTTTTTTTTAAAAAGAGCCTGAATGTAGGAAGCAAGATTTTTTTAAAAAGATTTATTTATATATTTGAAAGAGTTACAGAGAGAGGGTGAGGGAGAGAGAAGGAGAGACAGAGACATTTTCCATCTGCCAGTTCACTTCCCAGATGGCCATGATGGCCAGTGCTGGGCCAGGCCAGCGCCAGGAGCCAGGAGCTTCATTCTCGTATGCCACGCAGGTGGCAGGGGCTGAGACACTTGGGCCGTCATCTGCTGCTTTCCCAGGCACATTAGCAGGGAGCTAGATTGCAATTGGAGCAGCCGGAGTATGAAATGGTTCCCATATGGGATGCTGGTGTCGCAGGAGGGAGTCTTACTTGCTGTACCACAATGCTGGCCTTGGAAACAAGTTTTTTCACATGTCCATTTCCTGACTTTAAGCCCATGGTAAGTTCTCCTTTTAACAGTACCGAGGGCTTACCTTGTCCTAGCTTCAGACCATGCATTTGACTTGTCACCTTTGCTGGACCTTAGGCTCTGTGAGGGTGGGAAGCCAGCATGGCGCCAACGTCTGTGAATGGTGGTTGAGTGCTGCCTGAGTTCTCTCAGCTTCTGTGCTAAGTGTGTGAGAGTTAAACAGGATTTTCTGTAGTCGATCTGGAAACTGTATGAAGTATTTCCATGGGAAAAAGAAGGTAATTACTAGGCATTAGCTGTGTGCCTTGGCGCCTTTTAAATGCTTCATTTAATCCTCTCAATAATCTTGCAAAGTAGGTGGCATTATCCCCATTTTTACCAATGAAGTACTTGAGATTTGAAAGTTATGTAACTTGCCCCAGGCTGCTGAAGCACCTGAGCCACAACTGTAACTTTTCTGGCTCTATTTTTTTTTTTTTAATATGACATACTCTCACTTGGAAACCGCCTTTTGTATTGTAACGATACCAAGTACTATTTTATTTTTAACTTTACTGTGTCTTTAAAAATTAAGCACCAGTAGGGACTGGAGTAACTTGTGAAACCATTCTTAAGATCTTCTCCAGGAAAGGTATAATGTATCCATTGAGACTTTGCAGAGTGGGAACTGTTTCTGAAAGGCGGAGTTTGAGATCTGTGAAGTAGGGGGTAAGGAGCGACCAGAAACGTTGAAACAGGACATAGTACAGAAAGGAATCCAGTAGTTAGCAGTTCACCACAGATGAAGGAGATTGTGGCCTACACAGGTGACAGCCCGAGGGAGGATGGGAAGAATGGGGGTGATTCAAGATCAATCTGTGGATTGTGCACTCAGTGGTACGTTATTAAATGCGTATGTGTGGGAGACAGTAGGGGTAGAGATTGTTGTGTAGAGCTGAGTGTGAGAGCAGTTAAAAGAAGAAAGGAAAATGGGGCCCAGAAAGAATATGAGGTTTCTATCTTGGAAAAGAGGTTGGGTAGTGATGCAGTGAACCAAGATGTGAGAAACAAGAGGCGGAAGAGAGGCTCTGGAAATCAGATAATTTTGGAAATAGGGTTAGGATTTGAAGGCATGACAGCACATGAAGATACTTGGGAAAGCATGTGGTCAGAAAGACTGCAGACTGGCTAGGGGGCAGGAGTGCCTGCCCGACACTGGAAGGGAAAAAAGAACACAGCAGTGATGCTGAGAGGTGGCTAGAAGTCGGGGTAAAGAGGCAGGAGAAGGCGTTCTAATAGGTGGCTTGGAAGACTCGCTCCTGAAAAGGAGGAGTTGTCATTGCCTGGTTGGATGAAGACTGAAAGTGGATTTGGTAGGTGTAAGATAAGCTTGGAATGAGCACGCTGAAGCAGGAGGGAATGGAAATGCCACCTGCCGCTTTGGAGTGATGAAGGAGAAATCAAGGTTTGATGTATCTTTGAAGGAGAGCAGCTCTGCTGTCAGCGAATGGTCATGTGCTGAGGGCTGCTGGCTTCAGGGTCTCCTCCCACAAAGACCCTGGAAGACACCAAAGAACCCTGTGTACACAGATGCCAGGACCATTTTCTCTGTGACGTCGCAGTGTGAATTTCTGTGTTTAGCAACTCAGTAGGCTTCCTTTCAAGTCAGCATGTTTGCCTAACTGGGCAAGTCTGAGGTTAGCTTTCTGACTTGTTGGTACTGAAGACTGACCCCGTTTTTCATTAACTCCCAACTGTGGTGATGTGAGAATCTAAATCCATTGATTCTTTTGAAAATCTAACAGTTGGGACTCTAGATCGTCCTCGTGTTTTTAACACTTGGAGTCTTGTATGTCTGCTTCATTAGTCTGACAGTTGGGGTAATATCAGCTTTCATTGTATAGTTCTGTTCAGATGTACCTAACTTGAGAGAAATTACTGTTATTTTAAATCCTACGATGTCAACAGTGAGCTCTTCAAAAGTGTTTTCTGGCATGGGCAGCTGAAGCCACTTGGACAATTAATTTGTCAGTCGTTAAGAATGTAGATTTCCCCCAATAATCCATATGCTTGTTTTATCCAGTTCAAAACGATAATTCTCCCATATTATCTTCAGAAGCTCAGACCTTTTGTGGAATAGCTCATTTGTATGTTGTTTGCAGAGAAAAGCGAGTAGAAATCCTCCCTGCTGCCACTGTTGAGCAGTAGATACATGGACATAGTTGAGCAGCAGAAACATGGACATAGTTGTAGATACACCCATGTGCCCAGAGCCCGGGGATAATCTAACGTGCGAAGCCAGGAGCGCCGAGTGGTGCCTGGAAGCTGCTAGGAAGGTGGCCCTGCCGGTGGGCTTCTGGGACGCTCAGCCTGGACCACAGTCACCCACTTCAGTGCTGATTATCTTTGGTTTGAGAGGGGAGGTGGAGTGCATAAGGTTTTCATTTGAAAGTAAGGATTTGGACAAAGAAAAACCAACTTGAAATCCGAAGTCAGTGAGAGGGGGAAGGCTTTAAGAGACTCACTGACATGCCTGAGGGTGCTTGGTTGTTGACAGCAATGCACCTGCCAGTGCCCTGTGGTCCTGCCTTCTGTGAACTGTCCCTAGGGTGGATGTAGCAGCCACCACAAGGCTGCTGTCCTCCTTGTGAACTTTTTTTCAGAGAGGTGGTTATCTGTCCTTTCATTTAATATGCACAGATAGAGACTGCTTTCTTTCTGAAGTAAGAACAGCCCTTCCTGGGACAGTTCTTCGTGTCTAGTATAATTGTGAGACTTTTCCTCTATGGTTTAAGCGCATTCTTTTTGTCCTGTGTTTCGTAGAAAAGGATAGTGTTCGCTTGCTGTTTCCCACAGAGCGGCCCTTATGTCGTTTGAGACTGTTTATTAAACCCCACCCTGTCTTTTATTCTTCAAGCCAAAAAACCGTCAATTTGTGTTTTGCATACCTAACCCATCATTTGTCTCTGTGTTTGTTCTTCTGCAGCAGTAGATTCTGCAATTGAATTGGCTTTGATTCAGATTTCTGGTTGTTAGCGTGGTGAAGATGGTCACTTACGTTCACTGAGTCATCTCTAAGTGTATAGTGATTTGGGTTAATAATTTGGTTATTAAAGAATTGATAATTCTTTATAAGCACAGTTTATTGTATTCACATCAGTGTTCATCGGGATGATTATTAACGAATGTAATGACTACCTACATCTGGATTCTCACTTTGAAACTGCTTTACAAAAGACGTTCTGCTGCACACTTTCCTATGTTATTGGCTGCAATTGTTTTAGCTAAAAAGCTTCCCATACTCACTGTTGGAGAGTCAGTAATTATTTTCTGAGAGCAAGCATTGGCTCTAATCCATCTTTATATTCCAAATTACTTTGTCTTATACAGAAGAGATGTACAATAAGTATATGAACAAATGAATGAGTGCGAAGTGTTACAACACTTGTGTTCTACCTGTCCATATATCATAGTAAGTTCCGAGTCCTTTATTTTAGTATAGTGCCTTCCTTGTCTGCCTTCAGATTCTTAGATACTATCCAGATTTTTCTCAGAATATTGTCATTTGGATTTTCAACTTGCTTTATAAATGGAAGAACTTGAGCAGAAAGCTTTAAGAACCTTTAAGAACTGGCCAGTGGACTCAGGGTTGACTCCAGGTTTAACTGCCAAACTAAAATGGAGACTTTGTAGGTTTTTTTTTTCCCCTTTCCTGGAAAGTAAAATAGCTTTAGGAAGATTTTTTAAAAAGTAGGTAAGTCTAAATTTGTTATAGTTGTTAGGAAACAAACAACTAAAGCACTGATAAACTTATATGGAAATCTGTATCTGTTTACTTTCTAAAAATGAAACAAACTATTTACATTTTGAGAGAATTAAAGTTTCGAAAACATGTATTATAAAACTGAAACCATTTTCTTTTTTTAAAAATTTATTTATTTACTTGAAAGTCAGAGTTACACAGAGGGAGAGGGAGAGGGAGAGGGGGAGGGAGGGGAAGTAGGAGGGAGGGAGAGAGGAAGAGGGAGAGAGAGAGAGAGAGGTCTTCCATCTGCTGGTTCACTCCCCAGATGGCTGCAACAGCTGGAGCTGTGCTGATCCGAAGCCAGGAGCCAGGAGCTTCTTCCAGGTCTCCCACTTGGGTTCAGGGGCTCAAGGACTTGGGCCATCTTCTACTGCTTTCCCAGGGCATAGTAAAGAGCTAGATCAGAAGTGAAGCCACCAAGACGCGAACTGGCACTGCAGGCAGTGGCTTTACCCAATACACCACAGTGCCAGCCCCAAACAGAAACAGTTTTCTAAACTAAATGTTTAAGAAGGCCTTGTGAAATTTAGAATTTGTTGTTGTGTTGTGTAGTTATGAAAGTGGACATAGAATTTTACCTTCTGTCCAAGAAACTGTCCTTAGGCTTTTATGGGCTGATGCTACTTCAAGAAAGTCACGGTGAATAGCTCAGGGTGGCTCTGTCGGGACTCCTTGGCATCTCAGGGAGGAATAGTTCAGCACCGGTCACAGCTCTTCCTTTACTGCCAGATCCTCATGAGGCAGTTGAGAAGCAAAAATACCAGGCCAAGTTTGAGTATGGAGCAGGTGTAGCAGTCCTAGATGACATTGTATGTCTGTGGAGTTAGGTGTCTTTGAGCTGCTTAAAATTATTCAGCTATTTTAATGTTCAGTGTTGAAGGAGGTAGCTTTTTTAAAAAAAATATTGTGGCATTTTAAAAGTAAATTATTTACATCACTCTGCTGAATTTTTGGGCAGTGAATAAAGGGCTGGTAGGGTACTCAGTTGCATGGTGAGCAGAAGCCTAGGCTCTGTCAATGGCCAGCTGATGCACAGTATTAATGTGAAGAAAACTGTTTCTTCACAATAAAAGTTCCTTTACTTGAGCAGAAGAATATAATAAACTCAGTGATATTTTGATAAATATGTTTATTTATCCCAAAGCCAGTGAAGAAAGAGTGGAGCTTCTGGTTTACAAATCGATAACTCAGGTGCACCTTGCATGCGGCCTCGCTTCTTGCGTGGATAGAGTTTCCTTCCTCTGGGTGCCAGGAACACTTGATACCAGCGTTTCGTGTTTTATTTTCAGGATCAGTTTAGCGATATGAGAATCAGCATAAACCAGACGCCTGGGAACAGACTTGACTTTGGGTTTACAGTAAAATGGGATTTTTCCGGGATCTTCGTAGCATCTGTTGAGCCAGGTAAATGATAAGAGTTTTACTGAACTTTCTTTTTTGTTACTCTATGCTGCGGAAAAACAAAACACAGAAATTAATTTGTTTGATATAGGTGGAGAAACTACATCAATAAATAAAGGAGATACATCCTATCCTCTGAGACTCTTAGAAGTTGAGGTTACAAGTTACATCTTGCTTATTTTCCTAGTGTATTTTTTGCTTTGAAGAGTCTTAATTTTTACAGAATGTTTCTGTTAAAATTTTAGGATTAATAGTTGGGAATATTAACAAACAGTACTTAATTAAAGATTTAGAGAAAACTTTCCATGATTGGTAGTGTTTTGTGGCATATAGATGCTATACAACAAATTATATATATATATATGACATACAGCCAATTAATGTTTATTCATATAATTTTTGAGCACCCTTATATATCTGTTATCTATTGCCTGTGGAGTCATCAGGACACTTTTATACTTTTGCAAAGGAATTACCCTTCCTCACTCAAGGTTCCGTAAGTTAAATCCAGGAACTCTTGGAAAAATATGACTACCCCAAGGCCTGAAATGAAAATGCACACTGGTGTGTTTAAGAGTAGATCTTGGCTTACATATTTCAGCTATGTAAAATTTCATGCTAATATTGGTTATTTCTTTTGAAGTTCAAGCCTGCTGTAATTATTTAACCATATTTTAAGCATAAGAATAATTTTGTGTGCTTGTAAATGACCCCTTTTTTTTTACTATTCCAGAGTGCATGTGATTTGGAAGCACAATTAAAGAGCAATATATTTCACATTTTAAACTTAAAAATGATTTAAACTTTTCTTTGTCCTTTGGAGGTTAATATTTTTCATTGAATATATGAAGTGAGAGTTTCTCCTATAAATGTTAGTAAGATGCACATTACCGAATTTAAAAATGCCTTGGTTTTTTGAATGATATTGATAATCAAGCATTTGGTAACACACAAAAAAATTTTAGTGACTTCTCCACCTGAAAAAAGTGAGAAATGGTTTGTCAAGATTTGAGTCATTTTTGATTAAAGAAGCAGGTTTTTTTTTTTAAATGTGGTTTATTTAAAATTTAAAAATTTTTTTAAATTTACTTTGCATTATTTAGGCAGCTCAGCAGAATTTTCCCAGCTACAGGTTGATGATGAAATTATTGCCGTTAACAACACCAAGTTTTCATATAAGGATACACAAGAGTGGGAGGAAGCCATGGCTAATGCTCAAGAAACTGGCAAGCTAGTCCTGGACGTCAGGCGCCACGGGAAGTCTGGTGAGTGCCTCTAACCGCTGTGTCTGGCTTTCAGGCTGGGAACTGGTCTTGGGCAAGTAGTTGTTAACAATTTGCTTCAATAACATATGACTTCTTGCATTTTATTTATTTCTTGGCTTAAAGGTGTTTTGTAGTTATGTGGGGACAGATCTTGAATGATGCCTTTGGGTATTCTGTCTCAGAACTTTTTACTAGCAAATTTACTGAATTCTGTACTGTTTTAACTGATTAATCTCCTGCTCTGATGGAAGGCAAGTATCAACTGAGAACAAATCTGCTCTCTGGAGTCATTTATAATCATGACGAGAATTTAGAATTACACTATGGTTTACCTTTCTCTACAGTGCCCCACCTGTATGGTGTGAAAGTGTGTGGTAGGTGACTTTTTATTCTCAAAGGACTTTCTCTGGATATATTCCATTATTGTTTCTTAGAGGGGGTAGATGGGGAAGGACCATCAGCTTCCCCAGACCTGGCAACTCATGATATGGAAATAGAACACCTCATCCTGGTTTGTGTAAAGATTCAGGGAATTTGCTAGTCTTCTCTTTATTAACACAGTTTAACCCGTGTACCTTGTTTTGGGAAGGTGGTCTATAGTAAGAGCCCTGGGTTCTTCCCTTCTTCCTCCTGCTACCTGATTTGTTTGTCTGTCTTGTGTATGTGCATCTTGTACATGTCCACTCAGTAACTTTGTTCTTTCCACTTCATCATTTATGTCTATTCATTACTTGATCTTCATGTGCCCATCAGACTGGGGCAAAGACCAGCCTTCCCTGCCATGTACACGCCATAAAACCCTCAATCTCACCAGTATGGCTACCAAAATTATAGGTTCACCTGAAACAAAGTGGATCGATACAACTTCTGGAGTTTACAGTTCAGAGAAGTCCTCCAATCTGTCAGTAACAACTGATTTCTCCGAAAGCCTTCAGAGTCCTGTAAGTATTTTGAGCGGGAGGAGTGCTTGTATAGAGCAAAACAACTGGAGGAATTGTGTGTGCAGGAAGTCATTTATTCTGTTTGCACAGTTTGATACTGTTTCAGCAAGGAAGAATTGATTATGGTATTTTAAAAGAGTAAAATGTATTTTTGAAAACAGTGAGGCAGTACTCATTAACAAGGTGGTAGTGAGTTATATATGGTAAAATCAGAAGCTCCCAAAATGTTGATTTGCACATATTTCCCACCAGTCTTTCAGTCTTGCTGCATCCATCTTTCAGATCTTTGTGAAATAGCAAGTATATAAAATTCTACAATGTAACTTCCTTGTGCATTCTTTATTTTTTACTGGCAAAATAACATGTAGTCATCATTTACAATGTAAAACTTTATGAAACAGTTTTAGTTCTTATGTGGGTGAATTTGTTGGATAGGATGGCATAGGCTTAAAGAATAATCACTTCTATTAGGTGATTCCAAATAATTATAATGTAGGAAATTTTTCCAAATATTCAAGCAGTACATTTTATGTAGCCTTTGATAAAATATGTTTTCTACTTATGATATTCACTTAATTTAATTCAATTGTTCACTTAATATAACTTTCAACTGAATATTATGCATTTGTGTTTGGTCCCTAGATATCATCATCATTCTCATTCTGAGATGCCCTATTTTATTTACTAAGGATATCATTGGTACTCTATGTAAGAAAGGTTTAGATGTTAGAAAGTCCTTCATGACTATTTTGTGTGCTCATAAATAGAAGTCAAATGGACTAATGATTTTTTGACACATCATGTTTGTTGGAAAATAAATGGCTAAAGTTAAAGTTGTCCGTGCCTGCAGCTTGTTATTAATCTTTCTACAAATATTGAAGAATAATGAAAAAAATTGTTTCTACTACATGTAGAAGGCTATAAGAAATCCATCAGTATCCTGAAAAACTTATCTTGTTAAGAGAGATTTTCACTAATGAGAAAGAAGTACATTACTTAAGCTCAAAGTCCAATTGGAAGGAACGTTCATTAACATTTTTATTCTTTCTAGAACACTGAATCCAAAGAAATCAATGGGATTCATGATGAAAGCCACACTTTGGAATTAAAAGGTAAAAATCACCATTTTAACTTAGATTTATAATGAAGGAAAAGCTATGGCACTCAAATCCTGCTATTGTAAAAATTAATATCTGTGACTGCAGGAAAAACTGATCCACTGCAAGTTGAAACTAACAGGTTAGCACACAGATCCAGTTGCAACCAGGTGGGAGGGCATTCAGTTCCAGCACTGAATAGTTGAGGAAGTGCAAACAAAGCTTTGGCAGCACATTCTGGAGTTTCCAGTGCCTGTGTGCCTAAGTCAAATAAGAAAGACTGGTTTTCCGGAGGCTGTCAGCTCCTGGCTATGGCACACTGGCTAAGGGACTGTTCCTTGAACATGAATGAAACCTCCTTTATTGTTGTGAAGGGGGCAGGCGTGGAGGGAGCTAATCTTAAGAGGAAAGCGCCAGTGGTGATAACAGTCATTAGTGTATGTGCCAGTTTGTAATGAGAAACAGGACAAGCTGTCTAGGGAAATGGTGGAGTTCGCACTCTGTCCTTTTGTCCATCCAGAATTAACTTAGCTCCATCATGCTGTGTACTAGTGTGCTAGTGTACTAGTCCTTGGTCATGCAGAATAAAATAGAGGTTTGGTCTACATAGGCAGTGAGAGAGACCCATAGTAGGCGCAACTTCTTTCACTGAGATAAAGCGGGTCTAAGCGTGTACGTTTCCCTTCTGTCGTTATTTGTCTTTGTAATTCATTTCTGGTAGTTAGAAGTGGCTGTATTGTCACTGGTTTAAAATTGTGTTCTTTGCCAGAGAGTCTTTAAAATGAGCATTACTTGTTTTCCTTCATGCTGTTAACTCTAAGGTATCCAGGTCCAGTTCTGCCAGTGGCTCAGGCGTGACTCACTGATAAGAGCTATTCAAATCTTTCATGCCAGTGGGTTGTATGCAGGCCCTGTCAAGGAAAGTTTTGGTTAGATAAATTATCACCAAGCAGCATCAAGTAATAATCACATTTACATTTTAGGCCACAGTCTTGTGACAGATCTGTGGGAGAAGCCAGATTGTTTTCTGTCTGACTGGGCTCCATTTGCCTGACTCAAAGTTAATAGGTACAAGATCATGAAAGCTAGAGCAAAAAGCTCTGGCTAGAAGAACCTTTGCACTTTAGCATTTGTTTTTATTGAATCTTTCTTTGGATAGCCTTTTATTGTCTTCCTTCCCTGTACTTTTTAGCTCTTATTCATCTCCAGGTTGTGAAGATTCTCCATTACAGATAATTCTTGCTTACAGATAATTCTCATGCCAGATGAGATTGTGGATTGATTAACCTAAGCAACATGTGTTAATTTCCATGGCCTTAAAGCAGTGGGATGTAGCACGGAAAATTGTGTTTTACCTTTCATCGTTGTGAAACTGTAATGCTACGTGCTAGAGTTAATAAAAATATTTATTCCTTTTACTAATTTGAATGTAATATAGACGACTAAAAGTATGTGTGTGTGTGCCTTGCCATAATGCGTATCTTCTGCGGCTATCAGATTTTTCATTTAAAAAATACTGCTGTAGATAGGGAAGGTGTATCGAGAATCATTTAAGTTACCAGTGGTGAGAAATGAAAATGAATAGACGTGCTATTTATTGATGACTTTTGTTTTTATTTTTCAACTAGCAACTGAACCCATTTCTTTGAAAAACTTAAAAAGGCGATCACAATTTTTTGAACAAGGTAAACCATAAATCACAAAGCTGCCCATTCATGTACTTTTCGTGGACTTGTTCTCACTCTCCATTCTTCCTCATGGCTTGTGGTGCTGGGCACTGCACCTTTCAGCGTGGCTGCCGTTAAGACCAAGCAACATAACCTGTCTCCATTCTTCCCCTAGGGTCGCCAGGCTTTTCTTACAGTTCATGGGTCTACCTCTGTGGTAATGGGTCTTTGTGTGTCCTTTGTTTACCTCCAAAGGTTTTTTCGTTTTGTTTTCAACTTTGTTAAAAGTCTGACTTGCTCTTAAACACACACTTCTTGCCACTGGGTAACAGTAAGAAATGAGGCATTTCACGTACACCTGACTGCTTCCTGCAGCTTGCATCGTATTGGATTACACCAACATCCAATTGGCCACCTTTTAAAAAAAACTCCGACCTGTTCCTGAGTGTGGAAAAATGCTCTATTATTAATTAAGAGCAGAGTGATTTCTCTGATGATGAGAGCTGATGGCTTTGGAGTGGTCGATAGGACTGCTCTGCTGACTCTTAAGTACATTCAGAATAAATTGTGGTTGCTTCTGAGAGCAGCTGCGCTTTGAGATTCTGGTGTTGGTGTAGTTGGGCGTGCTGCCTCATGAAGTGTGAGGCGTGTGGCATTCTTCACTTTCCACGTTCATCTAACACTCTGTCTCATGCATGTTCAAGCTTCCGTGTTCCCTATGAAGAACTTACAAGTAATACCCAACATTTAGATGCAACAGGCAGAGGAGATTGTGCTGTTGCTGTCTAAAATGTTACTGTTTCTTACTTTTAAGATTATTGAAACATGGCCAACTTGTGCTATAACATAGTGGTACATGTGTTAGTATATTTTGTGTTAAAAATCGCTTAGTCTCCTTTTTTGTGCATTACGGTCTCTTTTTGGTCCTAAACATAAAAAGTTTATTAGCTCTGCCCTTCTATTTGTGTCAGTATTGTACGTTTTTTTTTTTAAGTTAATATTTTAAAATTTAAACTCCTGATTTCTATTTAAACGAAGCAGTTAGAGACTCCAGCTAAAAACAGCAGAGATAATTCCTTTGCTTTTCTAATTTTGTCTCACTTTTCTTCAAATGGCTATTTTAGGAAGAGTGGTTAAGTCTCAAAGCTGTTTTTTTTTTTTTAAATATCAAGTGAATAATTAACAAGACGGCTGAGGTTTCAGGGAAATTTTAAAATACTGTGTGCTAGTGTGTTTTCTGAAAGGCTGTTTTTGTTAAGTATTGTACTATGTCTAGTACACTTAATGTAAGCCCCGTAAGGGTGAAAAGAATAAATTGTGCCAATAAGTTTGCATGTGAAGTTTGAATACTTGTGCTTCAAATAATAAGAAAGGACAGTGAATCGTTTCTTGAACATCTTTTTGGGTGACATATTTGTGAAAACCAGTTCCCTACCAACAAGGCCTGAAAAATGTGACTTGTGACTGTCACTTTATAATAGAATAGTGGCAAGTGAAATGTTGGATTTGGTAGATTTTGTAGTATTTGAAGTTTTTTGTTTTCTCTTAGGCCAAGCTATGAGACACTGACCCGGTTTATTAATAAAAGAACCCTAAAACCACTTCAATAATCTCCCTGGGTCCAGTTCTGGTACCCAGAGCTAGGGCATACCTTTGGTGTGCGTGATTCATCTGCGTGTTACTGACTTTGAGTTTGGAATATGAACAACAAAACTAAAGAGAAATGATTTACTGACTGTCATTTGAAAAAAACATTGCTGTTGCTTAGTATACTGGCCTAGAGACAGGAGGGATAGGACTTTCGGAAAGGAGCAGTTTAATGGAAATGGAAAGACTAACATTGTGCTTTGCCCCTCTCCTCACCCACCTGCGGTGGTACAGGAAGCTCCGATGCTGTGGTTCCTGATGTAAGTAGTATTCCTTTGTATTTTGGGTCAATAGGGTGACATGGGTGGGACTGAATTTATACAAATTGCTTCCCATTATTTTACATAGGGGTTTATCGGGTAGTAATCCTGCCAAGATGAAAAAATAGACTTTTTGCTTGTTTTGAAAACATTTTAAAACTTTTATTTAAGGTATACAGATTTCATGTATTTCATAGGTACAGATTCAGGAACACAGTGATGCTTCCCACCCCACCCTCCCTCCCGCCCATACTCCCACCCTTCTTCCTTCTCCCTCTCCTAGTCCCATTCCTAATTTTTTTTACAAAGATCTATTTTCAGTTAACTTTATACTCATAAGATTAACCCTCCAGGAAGTAAAGATCTCAACAAATAGTATGAAGAAAAAAACACTGTTCCTCAACAGTCGACACAAAGGGCTGTTAAAAATCCTCAAATCTCAAAGTGTCCACTGCACTTGTAGAGATCACCTTTTAGGTGCTGCATTAGTGACCACAGATCAGGGACTTTGCCGTGGAAAACGCGCTCTTCCTGGCTAGCGCAGGCCAAGGGGACAGGCACACTTGATCTACGTGAAAGCAGTTCGTGAGATGACTCAATGAAGTTGTGTTGTTCTGTGTTTGCTCCTCTTCCCTGGCAACCGCTCAGCTTCCCGCGCCCACCGTCAGCGCGCCGAGTCGTCGGGCCTGGGACCAGGAGGAGGAGCGCAGGCGGCAGGAGCGCTGGCAGAAGGAGCAGGACCGCCTGCTGCAGGTAGCTGAGGGCTGAGGCGCGCCCTCCCTGCCCTTCTCCTCTGTGTCAGCCAGCACTGAGCAGCAAGTTAAAAGTGCAGGACAAAACCCCTACCATCTCCTCGCTAACCGATCCGTTTGTGGGGTGGAAGCTCATTTTGCATTAAGCAAATACTTTCCTCTTTTGGGCATTGCAGAGCCATCCTTTTAACCACGCTGTGTGGATTTTTCGAGGGTATGAAAGGCAGCACTCAGGAGTGGGAGGTGCACAGCCTTGGGGAGGGCTCGGTTCCAGTACCTGGAGAGGAGGTCCACTGCCACAGACCCCAGGCCCCCTTCGAGTTGGCCCGAGGCACCATGAGCTCCAGCCATGGTAAAGTGTGGCTACGCGTTTGATTTTGGAGTGTCTGTCCCCTCCCAGCATCTGCATTTCAGACCAATAGAAGCTCATTTTTCTCTTTCACGGGCGAAAATCTGCCTGACTGACTAAATCCAATGAGAACAAAGCACCGTCTTTAAAGGCTGAGGTGACAGTTCAGAGAGAGCAAACGTGCTCGTGAGAAGGATGCTGTGGAACGCGGAAGGTCAGCCTGTGGGTTAATGTGCCGTGTTCCCTTTCAGGAGAAGTATCAGCGTGAACAGGAGAAACTGAGGGAAGAGTGGCAGAGGGCTAAGCAGGAGGCCGAGAGGGAGAACTCCAGGTACCTGGACGAGGTATCGTGTCTTCCTCCTTCTCTTCCCCTTGTCCATGGAATTAACTCGGAAGCAGCAGAGGCCTCCTTCCCCTCCACTTCTGGCCACATGTTCACACATGTAATTCCTGGGAAAAAAATGCAGTGATTTGTGATGTGCTGAATTTTGATGTTTCCGTCTCCTCTCCTAGTTTTTCTATTGCATCATTAATTATGCTGCCAGAACTTGAAGTTTGTCTTCCTCTGCTAGGTTATACCTCCATCCCTTATGCGTGGCATTTTTTAAGTGATAAAACTCTTAATATTTTTTCAAGTGGAATTCTGGGCCAACTACAGTGAATATCATCCAAAATGAAACATGCGTGTGTCTATATGAAAGTCTAGAAAATATTTTTTCTTTTTTTTTCAACTTTTGTTTAATAAATATAAATTTCCAAAGTACAACTTTTGGATTATAGTGGCTTTTCCCCCATAACCTCCCTCCTACCCACAACCATCCCATCTCCCATTCCCTCTCCCATCCCATTATTCATCAAGATTCATTTTCAACTATCTTTATATACAGAAGATCAACTTAGTATACACTAAGTAAAGATTTCAACAGACTGCACCCACACGGACACACAAAATATAGAGTACTGTTTGAGTACTAGTTTTACCATTAATTCTCATAGTACAACACAGTAAGGACAGAGATCCTACATGGGGAGTAAGTGCACTGTGACTCCCGTTGTTGACTTAACAATTGGAAAGTCTGGAAATTTGAGAGATACGCAGATTTAGATGGATTTTGTTTTTTCCCTGCTCACCTAGGAACTGATGGTCCTAAACTCACACAGCATTTCTCTGCCTGCCCGGGAGCCCGCTGTTGCCACCTGGGAGGCCTCTTGGAGTGAAGGGTCCAAGTCTTCTGACAGGGAAGGGACCCGGGCCGGCGAGGAGGAGGGGGACCCGCAGCAGGAGGAGCAGAGAAAGCAGGAGCAACTGGTCCTGGAGCAAGAGAGGAAGCTGAAGGAACAGCAGTATCAGGAGGAGCAGGAGCGGAGGCGGCAGGAGGCCCAGTATCAGGAGGAGCAGGAGCGGAGGCGGCGGGAGGCCCAGGCCCAGGCCGAGGCTGAGGCCGAGGCCCAGAGGCGCCGTGTGGAAGAGCAGAAGCACCAGGCGGAGAGAGAGAGGGAGACGTCGATCAGAATTTACCAGTACCGGAGGTACGTGTGTCCCACAGCCGAGGGCCTCAGGGCCTTTAAACTGGCTTCCCTGAGATGTCTGCTTGCCTCCTTTTAAGCTTACCTCTGCACGCTGCACAAGTGAGCACAGGCAGTCCCCTAAACACGATCACCTGCCCTGCTCCCTGCTCAGATCTCATCTGATGGCTTCTCAGCCCCGGCAGAACACCATCCAGACCCCTCCTCGTGGCTTGGAAGGCTCCGTAGAAGCTATGAGGGTGGCCCTTGTGTCGACCTCTTAGTCTCTCAGAGACTTCGCACTGCTCCAGGCGCTCGGGGCTCTTTTTCTTGCCTGAAGACGCCCTGTGCATTCTGCCCCTGCTCTTGGCACTTTCTGGTTCCTCTGCCTGAATCAGGCTTCCGTCACGTGTTTGTATGTCTTATTGATCTTCTTGCAGTGTGCTCAGACATCACCTTCTTTGAGTGTCCAGAATGCTTGATCTAAAGCGTGCGCTTCCCCCACACTCCCTCTCTCTCTGTGCCCTTACCCTGCCTCCCACTATACGCTGATTTGTTTGTGGCCTGTTTGCCCACTGAGAAGTCAGGACTGTGAAGCCACTAAGCTTGGTTTGTTTACTTGTGTTCCAGCCCTGGAACAGTACATGGACGTGGTAGGCACTCGGTGTATGCTTGTGGGATGAGTGAGGTCCAGCTGTCTGGTGACAGCAGTAGTGATTGGTAGCAATATTTTTGGATGTTGAGTATTTAACTCAGGCACGGTGTGCATGAAGAGATTAGAAAAATGTTATTTTGGTAGCCTTTTTTGTAAATTTAGGAAAGTCTTAATGTTTTGACTATAAATTTTTTTTACCATCTTTTAGGCCTGTTGATTCCTATGATCTGTCAAAGACAGAGGAAGAATCCTCCAGTTTGCTTCCTAGTGACAGGTGAGTAGAACATTTAATCATAATTTGGTAGATATTAATTGGCTTTGGGCCAGTGTTCCAAGACTTGGCTGGATGATGTAGAACGACTTTAGCTCTTTGTCCTTTGTGTGATACACAGAGAACTCTCTGGTCAGTCTTTGTTTCAGTTTTTGCCATGTAACCCCTTGGGTGACTTAGCTTAAGATCTTGTGAGTCAGTTTTTGGGGCTGAGATCAATTGGCAGTTATTCCAGTCAACGTGGCTCACTGGGCCTCTGCTACCAGTTCACTAGGTGGCTTTGCTCTGGGGAGTTGGCCAGCGTCCCCTGGAGCAATGAGAACAACTGGGGCATATGTCTTTCAGCATCCATCAAACCAGCAGAGTCTTAGATACATGGTGCTTAGGCAGGACTGTCAGGTCCACAGTAAAGTCACAAAGCCAGCTCAAGTTCACAGACATGTGACAGACTTTATGTCTGTACCTGTTTGTGGGAGAAGTCACATTGAGATGGGAATGGACAAAGAAAATAGTCCATTTTTTTTGTAATGCACCATAACCTGTACTTTTAAAATGTTATGAGTAATGGCTTAAAATTACCCAACCCAAAATTCATTACCTCTGGACATCAGAAATGAGAACTATGATCTTTTTCCTCAAGAAGTTGATTAGACCTACTCATCAGTTTTAGGAAATAAAGACAGGATTTAAACTATCTGAAATATTTTTCACATCTTAAGATTTCCTAAAACAGGACTTTTTTTATTTATTTATTAATTGAAAGGCAGAGTTACAGAGCAGAAAGAGAGAGAGAGAGAGAGAGGTCTTCCATCTGCTGGCTCACTCCCCAAATGGCTGCAGTGGCCGCAGCTAGGCTGATCTGAAGCCTGGAGCCTGGAGCTTCTTCTGGGTGTCCCACGTAGTTGCAGGGGTCCAAGGACTTGGGTCATCCTCCACTGCTTTCCCAGGCCGTAGAAGAGAGCTGGATCGGAAGTGGAGCAGCCAGGACTCGAACTGGTGCCCATAATGGGATGCCAGCACTGCAGGCGACAGCTTTACCTGCTGTGCCACAATGCCAACCCAGGAAATTTTAATAGTTAAAGTAATTTCAAAAATAATCTACAGTTTTGGAATTAAGGGCTTCTGAACAAACTCTGTCCATAAACATCCAGTATAGGTTCATTAACTTGTGTTTTCAGACCTGAAATATCCCCTTTGGGAAGTATGTCTTCCATATTAGATACAAGGAAAGACTTGTATCTGTTGGCAGTAAGGAAGACTGAACAGGGCTCAGAGTAGAAAGCAAAAAGGTAAGGAATGACTGGGTATAGTGGACTACAATAAGCTAAAGAATAATCTATTGATAGATTACCTTCTTCATAGAGAGTTGCCATAGATGAACTGTCGACCACTAAAATATTTACCTCTCTGTTAAAGCTGTGGGTTTACTTACATATTTGAAAAAGCTTTATGTAGCTTATTACCATAAGGAAAATAAGAAAAATGCAGAGAATGGAAATATTAAAGAATCCTGGGAAACATGAAGTACTCACAGGCCATCCTGAAAAGCATGCCCCAGAGGTATTGAGGAGTGTGGTAAACACCTGGTAAGAAGGGTTTTCCTGGTGCAGCTCTGATACACTACAATGTGTTACCGATTATGGCATTGTGTATGCAGATCATTGTATGTGTGTGCATATGTATAATACTGTGTGTTATTGTCTTGTATATATACTATGCATTACTGTGATTTTTAAGCTCACTGTGCCTAATGGATTGAGAATGAGAGCAGCGTGTGTTGACTTATAGACCTACATTTTACCACGACGAACCTGGTGTTTTCAGAAGTTGGCAATGCCACATGATATAGTGCTTCCCTGGAACACCAGGAAAGCATATGGCAAATTCCTCTTCCCTGCTAGTCAGTGGGGATGCTAATACCTAAGAAGCTGACTTGATGACCCTGGGAGGAGTGTAAGAAGAGGGACAGCGTCGTATGTTTAGGTGGTCTGATGGCAGTGTTTGCAAGCCCAGTGAGGCTGACATCTGGAACGCGGTGAACACTGATAGAAATTGTTCGGCCTTCATGGTCTTGAGAGTTGTATCACTGTAGGATCTAGAGCAGTACGCTGAAGTGCTTCTGTCCATGTCTCCTGTCTCACTGCTTCCTGCTTAAGGATGTCTCTGTTGGCTGCTGGTTTGTGCAATGTGAAAAATTTCCCGGCTTAAAAATAAATACAGCTCTCAACAGACATAGGACATAAATTAGTTGCTTTATAAAGCAATCTTTTTTCGTGTTTTTACCTCATAAATATGAAAAAGATATTCTTAATGAGATATATTTGATGCATTGTCTTCTTTGTTTTAGGAATAAGTCCAAGTCTACCACTGAACTGCGTGATTTCGCCACAAATAAAAATGGTAAGTATAACTTTTTTCAAATCCTTACTTGTTGGCACACAACTGGATCCGTGTTGTTAAGGTCAGAATATTTCTGATTAATTAAGATTGCTTAATTAAAACTGAATATTTTTAGCGTCTGTATATAAAACCAAAATGAGGAATGTGCTTATTTTGTCTTTCCTTAACAATGGTAGGAGGACGGAGAGAGCGAAATGGTTTAAAAATAGCTAATGTAGGAATTTTACAGAGGAATGTCGATGCGGTTTTGTACAGTAGATTTTATCTTGCAGCTGAAGAAATAGGACGGCGAAGTTTGCTGCAGGATATTGTTAGTATGACACGTGTTTCTCAGGAATGCATGTAACTAATATCTTGTAACCAAGGGAGAAAGCTCCCGAGCAGGGCTTGCCTGGGCCTCAGCACGGGACGGCAGAGGTGGGGACTGGGGTGCAGGCACTGCCTGAGTCCAGCTTGTCTCCACAGCATGGGAGAATGCAAGCCTGCGGCTTTCGGCTCTCTCTGCCTTAAGAGGAGATGGCCTGTCTTATTTCATGGGTGACCTTTGTAAGTGCTGACAAGGAATTTTTGAAACTGTGAACTCCTCTGAGAGCAGAGCGTGTCTATGGACCAGAATGCTCTGGGCGCAGCTGGTGTGTAGCCTCAGCTTAAAGCTGTCGCGTCAGTGCTCATCCTCACGGCTGCCTCTCTGGAGGACTCCTGGTTCTGTGACCTCGCCTCTCCTTGAAGTTATCTGGTCCTTGTTTCCCTCTTCCTGCATAATTTGCTGTTTTCCCCTTTAGCTGTACCCAGAGTGTCCTCTCTCTGAATTCCCAGTTGACCGGGTACCTTCCCATCCGGTTCCTCCGGCCTTACCTTTCTTCCCCTGTGTGGATTTCCTGTTCTTTCTCCCCTAAACTTGCCCCTGGTCACTATTAAAATTGCACATAAAGTAGTACTTCAGGCTCCATGAAACATCTTTAACCTGCAGTGAAGATCCTCTGTCGTGACGTGTTAACAACAGCAGCTGTGAATCTCTGGGATGATCTTATTAATGCATGTGGCTTGTGTCACTGACGTTATTTTGGTAGGATGTTTTCTCCCCTTCAGTAGCTAATTATAAGCTCCTGAATGACAGGCAGTGAAAATGATTGTATTTTACCACGTAACCTGGTTACACCGATGAGCATCTTAAAAATAGAAAATGTTTTATTTAAAAATCTGAGCAAATGTATAAGCTATGTGTATACACAAATATAAATATGGGTATATGTAAGAAACCGATGATAGAGTAGCACATTGGCTAACGGAAGATTAAGACATAAATTATGAATTTTGAAAGGATGATCGTGGCAGTAGATATAGAGAAAGAAGGCTCCTTAGATGACGCTTCCTGATCCAAATTATGACAGATGATGCCTGAAAGTTGTCAGTGTTTTGTCCAACTCAGAAATTAATCAGCAAATCTAAGAGGCAAAATCCTTCTGATAAAACGTTACTTAGTTGTCATTAATATGTCATCTATATAAACCAAATCTGGTTTATAGTTCTGTCAGTTTCTTGGAGTGGAAATGAGTCTGATAAGATTTTGATAACTTGCATTACTGAAACATGTTTTGCCTCTTCACAAACGCCATTTTGGTGACTGGCTGTGCTCTGCTTCCTCCAAGTTGGTGCTGACTGTTTCTGTGACTCATATGGTGAGCACTCGGGTCGTGCCAGCTGGGGATACACCTGCCTATGTCTCCTCTCCCTCCCCAGGTGGGGAGTGTAAGTTTTCTGCAGGAAAAAAAGTCCCTGTTTCTTTGCAGAAGTTGTCACAGCAGGCATTGGGTGACCGTGTGCTTGATGGACTGAATTAAGGCTATTTCTAGCCAGGCACTTCGTAACTGAATTTTGCTGAAAGGAACACCAGTTGTTGGCTTTGAAGCAGCCTCCTTTGTCTTGCTGACTTGACCTGTGCGGTGCAGTCTCTGGGTGTGGATAAGGAATCTGCAGGGATAGGAGGCAGTTCCTTCCTGTGCTCAGGGCAACCTCACTGAAAATGGATCACGTTAGCACATGTACACATTGCCACCTTGTCAGCTGCACTACGTTTGGAGATCTACCCGCTTTCACAGTCTGCTAATCCTGAAGGTTTTCATGTGTTTTTGGTTTAGGAAGCAGTAGGTCTTCAGACCGCAGTGGGGACAGTAGCTCCTCCCAGAGGAGCTACAAGAAGGAGCCTGTCCCATCAGGAGCAGAGTTGGAAAGACAGCAAATCCTTCAGGAAATGAGGAAGAGAACGTCCCTTCACAACGACAACAGCTGGATCCGGCAGCGCAGTTCCAGTGTCAACAAAGAGCCAATTAGTCTGCCGGGGACCATGAGAAGGTGCGAGGCCTTTTAGGAAGTTTTCCCTCTATTGCACTGTGAGGCAGACGTTTCATTTCAAGGCAGGCTGGTGCTTTGGACGGGAGACTCGTCAGAATTTCTTCAGGTGACCTAAGATTCAGGGAGAGCAGGGGAAGCAGAACAGTTGTCACTGAGCGGGGTCCGGTCAGCCGTGAACCAGTTGCTTTGTCTGCCTCATCTCATTTACTCTTGGGGCCGCGTTTGGCGGGTGGGGGCAGTAATGGTTTCCATGTGCAGAAACTGTGGCTCCCCAGGGAAGACGTTGGACAACCTCAGACAGTTAATAGACTGCAAATGTGGCTGCAGAGCTCAACATATAAATAATGTATGCCCCTCTTAGTGCCTTCTTGCCTGCTGAACTGAAATAGGGGTCACGTTTTCCTTTAATGCTCATAGTGAGGTAATTATTATATTGGATAGTGTGAAAACTTCATTTTTATAACTTTAAGAAGGTCAGTAACTTAGATGTACATTGGAGATGAGTGGCTAAATGTTTTAAAAGACATATTTTTGGTAAACAAATACTGCAGCCACTCTGATACATTATTTTCTTCTCTAACAAAGAAACTGGAGAAAGTTTTTGTAACAGTTTTGTAGGCAAAGAGCTAATTGTCTTAATATACAAATAACATCTTGAAAATCAGTAAATAAACCCTTACAACTTTATAAAAAATAGACAATAATGAAAACAGTTGACAGGAAAAAGAAAAACAAGACACGAGTAAGCATATAAAAGCTTAATACTGCTAAAATGACAGTGGTTGATCATTTTTACTCATGGGATCTGTAAGTGTTTAAAAGATTAATCAAACCTGGTATGGACAGTTGTATAAGGAAATAGGAATTCTTGTTCTTGACTGGACAGATTTTTCAGTATGTACTAAAGCAAACGTTTATATACCTGTGCTCTGTGAGCAGTTTAGTTTCTACTGTTTATCTTTCAGATATATTTGGGTAAGTGTACAAATGTATAGTCAAAGAGGTACACTTAAAATACTATTGGCAGTGACCAAAAAAAAAAAAAAAAAAAAACAAACAAACTCATAATACCCACTAAGAAGCTTTATGAAGGCTGGTTGAAATGTGAAACATGGTGGTGTTTAAACATGGCAGCTTTGCTTGTGCAAGTTCATTGTTTCTGTAGCTGGACTTCTGCATGTGACTGTGGAACATGGCTACACTGATGATGGTATGAGGCATTGGGTAGATATCTAGCTGCATGTGTGTTGTTCTGATGAGTCCTATTCTGTGTTTCAGAGGTGAATCTCTGGATCACCTGGATTCCTCCAGATCCAACTCTTGGAAGCCAACCCCGTGGCTCGGTCAGTCCACGGGTATCTATGCCTCTTCCTCTGTTCAGGACTTCAGTCGCCCACCACCTCAGCTGCTGTCCACGTCCAACCGTGCCTACCTGAGGAATCCATCCTCCAGCATTCCCCCTCCTGCAGCTGGCCCTGTGAAGACCACAGCCGTGGGCACGGCCACCACCCGCACCTCCACCCCACAGAGCCATTCCCCTTCCACTTCACAGCCGGGCTCTCAGCCACGCAGCAGGTGAGGCCCCCTTCATGCTTCTCCTCCTCTGCTTAGTCTCAGGTGGCCTTCTTGTTGACACTTCCCCCACATCTTGTCCAAGTTTCCCAACAAGAAAGAAGAGTGAGTGCTTTGAGTGTGTCTAGTAGAGTTCTCTTATCAGATCAGTTTCCTTAGGCTGGCTTTTTTGGTGCCTTTCCCTGGACCCTCACAGTATTGATAGGTGTCAGGTGTGGCCAATGGCGACCTCTGTTCATTGCCCTGTCTCCATTGCGTGTGCTTGTGCTCCGTATCTTAGATGTAAGACGGGCCTCAGTGGCTCCTAGTGTGGGATCACGATAAGACAGCAGCTCACTATGAATGCTGTTTGAATTTCTGAATATAGGCCGTGCTGTAAGCAGCTGGCTGTTTTAACGACACTGTAATGCAGACTCATAGGAATGGCGTGTAGAAGGAAAGCACTATCATCAGGCTGCATTGTCGGAGCTGAATTAAGACAGAAAATGTTAGGTAGGTTAGATGCTGCTCTTTGGGTTTCTGATCGCCAGAATCGTTGCTTGCCTGCTGTTTGGTTTACCAACATTTTGTTCAGGCCACATCGACTGAATTCTGTGGGTCGCAGGGTATGGGAAGGGTTGTATGGAGGACTTTTCAGGTATCTTTGGGGTTGGGTTTTTGAAGCTGCAAAGCTTCTCCACCGCACTGTTCTCCTTCTGAGTACACGTACCTTAGGGGAGTTCTTCTGATAAACCACTTTCCATCACAAATAAAATACGTAAAACTAGAGACACTTTGAAATACTAAGGTTTTTTTCTTAAGCTATTAAATAATTTGGTAAGAAAATGCGTTTTATATAAGTCCAAAATACTGTTACATGTATCAAGGTCTATAGAATGCATCTCAGAAAGTTTCAGATAAAAACTAAATTACTTCTGAAAAGGAAGATTTTTGATGCACTTTGCAGGGGAGAGATGAAGCGTGTGGGATGGCAGGAAGGCAGGGTAGAGGTGCCCAATGACTCTCCAGGAGCACTGCTCAGGCGTGGCCTGGGGAGGGCTGGGCTCTCCATGCAGAGAACGTCTTGGTCAAGGGGGTGATGCTCTTAGCACTAGACTCTCCACAGCTGTGCACTGCTCGGTGCCACTCAAGCGCAGCTCAAGTGTCATCCTGGGGCCATGGAGACCTCAAGGTCAGCAGAGAGCGCTCTTCACCTTAGCACCTGCGAGAGGGGAGAAAACCTATATGCCCAAGTAAAGAGCTGTGCACTATATGCATGTATTGAAATGTCACCGTGTTCCCCCCAAATATGCATCATTACTTACGTGCCAACTGAAAATGAAAACATGTGGGCGCAGAGAAGAAAGTAGAAGCCCTCTTTCCCTATCCAAACGGTGGTGGTGGGGTGGGTCAATGTTCGTTTCATTCTCTGGAGAGCTGATGGTGGAAGCCGGAGGCACAGTCAGGAAAGCACTGACAGGCACTTCTGTTTAACGCCAACATCTGGTGCATGAGAAAGAGGGTGAAGAGGGAGGCCCAGGAGCTAGGTCAGGGAGCACTTGAAGCGCCTCTTGGTTCTGAAGGGTGAATGGCGTGCTTCGAGTTGTGTGCTCTGGCAAGTTGAATTGACGGATGTTGTAGGTGGACTGGAGGAGGGGGCCTTACTTGCTGAGCACAGATGTGCTGTAAGAAGGGTGGCCTCACGAGGTGCAGAATGAACTGATTACACTGAGCTCACTTAGGTGCATGGGTGTCGAGGGTTCCAGAGCCGCCATGGGGTTCGTTCAAGGTTGCGATATGATGAAGGCATGCGTTAGCTGACCAGGGAGGAGGTTTTCTCCCGCAGATACAGAGAGCCTGCCTTCAGTCATCGCGAGTGTTCCTACTGCAGTGTGATTTTTCTATCAGAGCTTTGAGCCGCACAGGTGAAAGCCAGCGTTCCGTTCTTGTTCTGCATCTAGGTCAGTCAGTGGGAAGCGCGTGTGCTCCTACTGCAATACCATTCTGGGCAAAGGAGCTGCCATGATCATCGAGTCCCTGGGGCTTTGTTATCATTTGCATTGTTTTAAGGTGAGACCGAGACATACAGCCTGCAGCCTGCAACGCTTTGCTTGGAGAGCGCATGGCTTCTTTGAGCTGCTGGGTCTGGATGGGCCACTAACAAGCCAGGTGCTGCCTTTGTCGGTCGTGCTGCATTTGAATCACCAACTGCTTGCTACTTAGTTCTCCAATCTTGAGCCTGACTTCAGAATGTAAATCTGGAATCACTATGTATTTCCTCTCTCTCATCTGTTATCATGCCATATGTGAAATTTCTGATGCATAAATGCTCTCCGTAAGTTGCTGTCATAGGCATACGTGGAATCCAGTTTACCAGTGTTACACACGGCACGTGGACGTGCCACTATCCCAGCATCCTAGGGCCTGGCTTTGCTTAGGGGGAGCAGGTAAAGAAAACCCCTGGAAGTATTTTTACAGTTGCACAGTCTGTTTATCCCTGATAGGTTTTTTGCCCATAAGAAAGAACTAAGGCTGGAAGTGTTTGGTTTTGCGGTGTCTGTCTTTAGAGACACAAGCTCACAAAGTAATTCTTGCAGGCTACAATTTCCCCAGATTTGCAGGCGTTCTGAATCAGATGAGACACACGTCTCTTTGATCCTTAAGCTTACACTTAAGGGCTGGAGAAAGGTCCCATTCTTGATCGTGCAGCTCACCCCTTGTACCTTGCTCACTTGGACTTGTCCTAGGCAGAGCAGAATGAGTCAAAATACTTAAGTGTTTGCATGCATGGGACCACAGTCCCCAGACTTGAAATGATGGTCTCGTGGGCACACTTGCCAAGCTGGTGCAGTGGGGACACTGGGAGTGGCCCGCCCCAGAGTGGAGTGCCAGAGTGCCAGAAACCCAGCCTTCATTCACTGGGGCCAGTCTTCATGTGGCGCTCTGTGCTCCACTCTCCTTCAGGGAATGAAGACCAGGTTTCTTTAAGTCTATCAGCAAATCATTTCTGCTATTTTTTTTTTTTTTTGGTAGATTTAGAATGATCATCTTGGCTCTTAACGGTGGCTTTGTCAACCCTTTAAATATGTCTGATCTAACAGGCTTGATTTTAATCTACTAATCATCTTTTAGCTTTTTTTTTTTTTCTTTGCTTAAATGCGTTTAAGAGCTTAGACGCTGCTCCTGTGCATCGCCACTCCCCCACCCCAGCCCAAACCCTGCAGTGCTCCTAGCCTTCTCGGGCTGCCTGACCATGGACATTCTTCGTTTGGTGTCCTGCAGTGTGTGGCCTGTGAGTGTGACCTCGGAGGCTCGTCCTCAGGAGCCGAAGTCAGAATCAGAAGCAACCAGCTCTACTGCAACGACTGCTATCTCAGATTCAAATGTAAGAGAGCAAATCCGGGAGAAAATCTCGTGTCTGCTGAGGAGAACCCGGGTGCCCCTGCCTTCCCCTGAATCCGCGGCCACCTCTCCCCCGAGCTCACTGCCTTAGAGTTCCAGGCTTGGGAACTGCACCCTGTCCCCTTCCCAGAGGGTGTGTAGTGAATGGGCCACTGCGCGGGGTTCCAGCTACACAGGAGTGGGGTGCGGGACTGAGGAGCTGAGAGGGACTGGTATGGGAAGTCAGGACAGTGCCTGGTGCAGTCTGCCTAGGGCCTGGAGAAGCCACAGACTCAGGAGTGCAAACAAACCCAGACAGACACTCGGATGGCACTTCCTCACGGGCTGTCGTCTGTGTCCTGATAAGCATTGAGCGCCCATCACCGCTTTGTTTCTCTAACTTAACAGTGGGCTACAGTAGGAGCAACTCCAGAAGCTAATGTCTACAGTAATCTATCATCAAATACCAGTATTTTTAAAAGGAGGGCTTTTCATTCTGATTATACTGTCTCAGTTTCATTTGTAGAAAAATGGGGTTCTTCAAAAAGCCTCAAATGCTCCTTTGCGTCCGAGCAGGTGCTTGTGTGTTACGAAACAGGATAGTGTAATTAGCTTGTGTGTTGTTCATAGCTGCAGCAAGACAGCCATTTCTGCTCTGTTTTGCACCTTGATGCTGGTAACGTGTGTTTCTTCCTCACTGTGAAAGGGCATTACAGGTGGTATCAACAAAACCATTTGGTTTTGAACTCCGAGGTATTTATGCGGCCCCGATGTGAAGCGTGCATTGGAAATGGTCCGAGCTCAGTCAACTCTCTTTTATCTGTTGTGGCTTCCGAGCCTTTGTATGCTGGCCATCCAGTGCTTTGCTGGATGCTGGCCCTGGGGTGGAGAATGTTGAGGCTGGGCGTGCACTGGTGGGGACTGTGTGTATGTGTGTGTGCTTTTCTCTCTCTCATCAAATTCCCAAGCCAAATAGCATTAATTTTTGGAATCGTTATAAAATTGCCCATGCCTTTTCTCCCCCTCCAATACAAATAACAGAGAGTTGAGTGTAATGTATTTTCTGTTATCTGCAGTTAATTTGTGCTCCGCTTGTTCAAATACGGAACTCTAGAGCCTGAGGCTGTGACTTGCCTCCTTTTATCCTAAGACCGAGTGACAGGTGGCTCTTTCTACCTCCCCCGTCACTCTGTAAGGGATGATGCTATGTGTCCCAGGTGGCAGGACTCAGGTTGTTTCTGACTCTAAGTGGTTTTTCTCTCTTCTCTTCTTGCCTGATCAGCTGGACGGCCAACTGCCATGTGATGTAAGCCTGCACGCGAAAACACTGCTGCAGATAGAAGAAGAGGTGGTTGCAGCCGGTGTAGATCTATAAATGTGTGTCGTATGTCTTTTTTTGCTCCCTTTTTAAAAAAAAACAGAATAACTTTTTTTCCTCTTTAGATTACATAGGAACACTGTAGGCTTGGTGGAGCCTGTGTTTTTGTTGTCATTTATTTATAAGAAGGTAATTATGTGTGGGGGAAAAGTGCAGTATTTACTTTTTGAATTCAAGTATCATAAAAGCACAAGGGGAAAAGTAAGAACTTAAAATATTTTTGAGGCTGATAATGATCTAGTTTGACTTTCTAGTGGTGTTTTGAAAAGAGGATATTTTATTGTTTTTTTTAAAAGGTTCTTAAACATTTGAAATAGTTAATATAAATACCTAATTTCATCCGCTCTGTTTATTGTAATGTATGCTAAATTAATGCAAACGTGTACGGGAAATTTTGTTAAAATCCACCTCCAGATTTGCTTCCTGTATCCTGCTCTCCATCTGTGTAATGTGATTTTTCAATATTTCGCCGTGTAACATGTTATTTGCTCGATTAGGGGAGCTCTCTTTCTGCCTCAGAGTTACTGTTAGCAGTTCTCAATGGAAAGCTGCTTACTTTCATTGGTAACAAGTAACCACGGTTTGTACACCAGAAGTTTTCTGCAGAAACCAGTGAGCATTTCTGTTCAACTACATTTGTAAATAAATTTGCTGATGCCTTTAAGGAGTGGTTCCTTCTCTTCTTCAGTGCGTCTGTTGACTTTTGCAGCCTTTTAATTAAGCATCTCCACCTGGTCTTTTTGATATTACATTTTATTTAGCTGCTTTACCGAGATAACAATTCATATAAAATAAATGGCCTGTACGATTTGATAAATTCTTTCAAGTGTAGACCAGTGAAACTGTCACCGTAGTCTTAATGTTCTAACTGAAAAATTTTAATGGGTAGCTTTGTCTTTGTTTTTGGCAGTTACCTTTTTGAATATAACATGTTGTTTATGGCAGGAAATAGATGTTAGCAACACATTGTTGGGTCATTCAAATAAAATCTTTACTTTTGCTTGCTGCTGTGATAAAAGCAGAAAGCAGTGAGTTTAGAAAATCCAGAGCAAAATGTACTTTTGCTTCAAAATTATAGTGTGGGATTGCAAGAGTATACAATTTTCACATGCTTTGAATTAAAATACAAATTTGCTTAGGACCTTTCCAGTGTAGGCAGAGTGAATAATTCTAGGACATGCAAACTGTTTACTTATGAGGGGGTCTTCAAAATGTTTGTGATAAACATGCATTAGGAAAAAAAATTTATATGTGGGTTTTCAAAAATTTTACACTGAAATTTTAAATTCTATTTTCCATGGACTTTCTGACGTATACCTTAATATGTATAATTGAGAAGCATTAATGTGAGAGAAAATTAAAAATCTGGTTATTGATTGTTTTTGTTTAGTCTTTATTGTTTCTTCCTGCTTATTAAAGTAGTATGTGTTTATTAAGGAAAATTTGTCAAATGCTGCAAGGCGTAAACATTGTAATTCTTAATTCCAGACTCTGGAGACATGAGCTCTGTATTTTTACTTCTTCAGCATAGTTATTTATACTGTGTCCTTTTCTTAAAAAAATTATTTATTTGGAAGGCAGAGCAAGAGCATGCGTGTGTGAGAGAGAGAGCGAGCGAGAGAGCGAGCGACAGTGCTTCTGTCCATTGATTCACTCCCCAAATGGCCATAGCAGCTGGGTCTGAACCAGGCCAAAGTCAGGAGCCAGGAAGGCCTGTAGTTGAGGGAGATGATAGAGCATCTCAAGCTTTCTCATCACGTGCAGATGGGGAAAAGGACCATGGAGACCCAGTGATTGGTGGAAGAAGCATCCGGGCGTGCTAGAACGTAAGAGAGAACTTCCTAGACACTGGAGCTAAACCCGAGGAAATGAGGAAGCAGACCACTGAGACACTTAAAGGACAAGCATCTCAGACCTCGGGAACCACAGGTCTCACAGCCTTGGGGCAGGAGAATGTTGGCTGTGTTCAGGAAGAAGCCAAGTAGATGGGTGGAGTGAGGAGGGCTGTAGGGAATGTGGGGAATGCTGGCCGGCACAGGTCAACAAACCGTTGTAGGAGTTTGGCTTTTGCTCTGCATGGGTTAGAAAAGCACTGGGGGGCTCCGAGTACAGGATTGAAATGCACTGACTTAATGTTCTAAAAGAACTACACATAGCAGTATAAATGATAAATTACAGAAGGGCAAAGGTGAAAAACAGCGGGGACACTAATTTGGAGTCTGTTGAAATTGTCCAGGCAAAAGATGACATTTTCTTTCTTCTTCTTTTTTTAAAGATTTATTTATTTTTATTTGAAAGGCAGAGTTACAGAGAGACAGAGGCAGAGAGAGAGAGAGGTCTTCCATCCGCTGGTTTACTCCCCAGATGGCTGCAGTAGCTGGAGCTGGGCTGATCTGAAGCCAGGAGCCAGGAGCCTCCTCTGGGTCTCCAACATGAATGCCAGGACCCAAGGACTTGGGCCATCTGGTACTGCTTTCCCAGGCCACAGCAGAGAGCTGGATTGGAAGTGGAGCGGCTGGTCTCAAACCATCACCCATATGGAATGCTGGCACTGCAGGTGGTAGCTTTACTCGCTATGCCACAGTGCTGGCCCCCAAAAGATGACATTTTCTACAAAGCATGGTAGCCAAGGAGGTAGCAAGGAGTGGGAAGACTAGTGTGTGTGTGTGTGTGTGTGTGTGTGTGAAATGCGTGTTTGCAGAGTTTGTATATATTGATGGTGACACTGGCAGAGTTTGATGATGGATTTTACATAGCACGAGAGAAAGAGAGGAATCAAAGATGACTCCCGGAGCTGGGAAAGTGGAGTCCCCACTTTGAGAAATGGAGAAGATTGTGGTAGAGTACATTTGCAGACAGTCAGAGGTCTGGCGTATAAACATGGTGAGGTTGAACAGTCTGTTAGATACCCAGGTGGCAGGGTTGGCTGGTTAGCTGGCTATGCATGTCTGGAGTTGAAGGGAGAAGCTTAGGCTGGAGCTAGAAATGTGGAGCCATTGGTGTGCAGATGAAATTTAAACTGAGATTCGGGAGCACATCACATCACCTGGATTGCAACTGTAACCTGAGTGGAAAAGATGTCCTAAGACCAATTCTTGGGTTCCTTCAGCATTGGAGAGCAGAGATGAAGAGAAATGTCCAATGACGCAGGAGAAGGAAGATGTTGGTGCCCGGGAAGCCAAGAGGCCTGCTGTGACACATGCTTTCCAGCGACCCATTAAAAAGAGGACTGACTGGAGTTCAATTTGTGATGTGCCTTTTCCCTACATGGATGTGCTGGTGTTGGTGGATAGCTATACTCCAAGGTTCAACTGGGGGCCCTTCATGTACCTAGCCCACTTTCCAGCGCCTGACAACCTCCCACTAAATGGCCCTCATGCTTTTTGTCTGTTTTTTCCAGCAATACGAACCGAAGGAGAATGTGGAGAGCTGTGTCCAGGGCACTTGTACCCACCCACATAATACATTATAAGCTGTACCTGTGCTTCCCAGTGCGTGGTGCCCCTTGGACACATGTGTTTTCCCTCCCCTCTCCCCCTTCCTTGTAGTTTCTGTTTTATGGATTGGCAAAATGAAGAAGAGGGCGTCTTCTTCAGTATTGAATTCGGGAAAGAAGGTAACATGAAAATTAAGTGTGTTCTGCCCAAGAATTGAATCTTGGCATTTTGTTTGAGATGCTCAGAAATACCACCGAGTGGAAAATAGCCAACAAAGTGAAACTATCTGAATTTCAGTGAATCAACATAGAATAATAATTACCATCTGATTGAGAGAGAGCTGAGAGGGTGCTTTAGAGTTTGGATTTTACTTGTTTTATTTAGCACTCCAACATCCTTCCTTGCAATCTGGAAGAGTGTTTAAAAGGCATGCTAAATGTCAGTCCCAGTTCATTCCATAAAAGTGGCATTAAAAAGCCCATGCATAAGGGGCAGGAAAACAACTTCTGACTCTATTTCATAAAAACATGTAGCTGCTGGAGCATGTAGGATGAATACAAAACAATCCTGATTCTCACAGAGGAGAGAAGTATGTAGCTACAAGATTCTAGTACATGGTAGAAGAGACTAGGACTATGCAAGAAATAAAGTAGGTGAGAAATCTAGGAGTCATTTACACAAGGAACAGAAACAGGTTCACACCATGCTTACTATTTGAGCTATATCTTTAATGGCAAATACAATTTTTTTAAAGATTTATTTATTTATTTGAGAGGTAGAGTTCCAGACAGAGGGAGAGAGAGAGATAAAGGTCTTCCATCTGCTGGTTCACTCCCCAGATGGCCACAACGGCTGGAGCTGGGTGGATCCAAAGCCAGAAGCCAGGAGTTCTGTCTCGGTCTCCCACGTGAATGCAGGGACCCAAGCACTTGGGCCTTCTTCCACTGCGTTCCCCGGGCCATAAGCAGACAGCTGGATCAGAAGAGGAGCAGGTAGGACACAAACCAGTGCCCATATGTGTTGGGCATTACCTAAAATCTCCATTACAATATGGCGCCTGGCGGATGTTCGAGGGGCGTGTCTGTGGTTGCTGCCTCTAAACTACATAAAATCAGACCACCGGCAGGGGTAGGTCCGCTTTAGTTCCGGACACATGGACAGTGCATGATCCCTATACTTTGCTTAAGATGCCCCTGTGCGTGATCCACCCAAGCCCGCGTGACCTTTTCGCTGATTGTCTTTCGTAAGCTTTATAAGCCTACACACTTCTTCAATAAAGCGCTTCCTGCTTCGACAGAACTCATGGGTGCTTGTGGTGTGTACTTGACTCGTCAACCTTACCCTTCCTGTTTGCCTTGTTGGGGAGTGTCTGTACTGGTCAGGGGCCAGCCTCGGACTTGAGATTCTGACACATGTGATGCCAGTACTGCAGGTGGAGGCTTAATCTATGCCGCACAGCCGTCACCCCTTCGAACCCTCCACCCCCCATGCAGATACAATCTTAATAGATAATGTATAGAAAGAATAGAATGCTGTTTCTGGGTTAAGATCAACATACTCGTGGGTCCTCACTTACTTAGTATTCCCACCAAAACCTTACACAGTTCAACCTGTTTTGCAAAGGAATAACCCAGTCATTGGATATGTTGTGTGTGGTAATGTACCCATGATGTAGTAATTATTTGACTCAGTAGAGAGGAAAAACCTGTTTCACAGCACAGGAGGGTGACTGTAGTTTCCAACAGTTATGTATTTTATAAAGAAAGTCAAGTTCAGAGTTTTTCAGCATAAAGAAATAGTAAATATTTAAGGAGATGGGATTGTTAATTACCTTGAATTGATCATTACACATTGTGTACATGTACTGATTTATCAGTGTATCCCCTCAAAATGTACAACTCCCACTTTTCAGTTAAAAAATACTTAGAAAAGCATTGCCCTAAACTTCCACAAATCCTGATTCAAAGCCAATAGCCGTTGTTCAAAGTGGGAATGGCTGGCTTGCTCTCTTCAGGTATCTGATCAGATGTCGTCATCTCAAGGATTTCTGTGACCAGCTTATAGCATTCTCTCAAGTGTATTTATGGTACTTATCACTGGGTAATTCTTATATATTTTTATTCTTTGATTTACTAATTATTTGGATCTTCTCCTGGAGCAATGCAAAGTTCATGGGGCCAGGAGTTGTCTTATTGCTGTTGTATTCCTGCTACGTAGACAAATTCCA